CGCCACAATGTCGGGAAGAGCGATATCGGCAGAGTAGACGTGCTGCTCACCTACTAGGTTGTTTGGAAGTACGAGTAATATATACATATTTCTTAAAGTATATTATCATCGAGCAAACTACAAGATACTTATGTATATAAGATATATTTTCGAACTGCGGTCGCTCCTCGGCAGGGAATGCCAACCCATCCGAGTGTATTTCTGACATCAGCCGTACGGAACTTTAGGTCTCTGAATTTGTTGGAAAAACATCAAGACGCAAAACCACAAATTGGAGAAGAAGCTCGGCCGAAAAAATCGCTTCAGCGGTTAAAAACCTCCAAATATATCAATATATATGTTAGGCTGGTTAGTCGAAAATCTTTTGGATTTATGTAATTGGGTCTACCATCTTTTGGCATGAAGATCACTTTCATTTATTCCATTCATGGAATAGCTTTCGGGAAACGATTATATTTGTAGAGGTGGTCTTAGATAGTTAAATCATTTCACAAAACATTTCCATTTCAGAGAAAGCGCTAAGAATCTACATTCTGACCCCAATTTCCTTAGCTGCTCAACTGTGAGTGACTGGAAACGTTTCATTTGCATATGACATCCGGTCTTAGACGAAGTATCCCCTGGGTAGCAACAAACATCCGTTCGGAGCCGAGCTAAAGTGAGAAGGAGAACCCCATGCGGTTTGGAACGCACCACATGAAAAAAAATCTAATGAAAAACGAAAATATGCCTCGGATGAGAGAATTCTTTATTGATGACAACCCCCGCAAATGTTTTAAGTATTAAGATTTTAGGACATGTACTTGTTCTGCTCTCGGTATCTATCCCACTGGGAAGGTGCCACTGCCCAGTTGGTTAAAGTCCTCGAACACACTTATGAGCGCTGCCCCCGCCATGACGTCAAAATTGTGCTTGGCGACTTCAATGCCCGGGTGGGTAAAAAAGGTATTTTTGTGACAACAGTCGGGAAATTCAACGTCCGCGATGAAACATCCAAAAATGGAATGAGGCTGATCGAATTCGGTGGGTTGTCTGTAGCACTAGATTTCAGCACAAGAAAATTCACTATGCTACTTGGCTGTCTACAGATCAAAAAACTCTCAAACAGATCGATCATGTTGTGATAAACGAAAGACATGTCACCAGTGTATTAGATGTGCGTACGTTCCGAGGTCCTAACATCGACCCAAATCACTATCTTGTCGCTGAGGCATGCGCCTGTTAACAAACAAAAGTAAGGTTCGACTTCGAAAAGCTGCAATCACAACAAACAGCCGAATGGTTTTCTTCTGGGCTTGCACAACTGCTATCTGAGAGCATTCATTAGCAACTTAGTATAAGGGAAATGTTGACCGGAATCTCAAAAACCCTATGTAACGCCGCCTCGGAAACAATTGGTTTTCGGCAGTGTCAGAAAAAGAACTGGAACGATAAAAAATGTCGAATGTTGGAGAGAAAACAGATTGCTTAACTTGCAACCTTCCGATCGACCACAATAAATTGGGGGTGGGATAGACACATAGAGCCGAAGAGGGCAGCAAGACGCCTTGCCAGCAAAAAAGAAAGAGGATGAAATACGTGAGTACGAAGAGCTTGAGAAGCTAGCCGCCAAGAATAATGCCTGAAAATTCTTCAAAAAGTTTCAGGACCAGAGCAAACTTTTGTAGGACTCAAAGGAATAATTACGGATGCCCAGAGTATACTAAACTTATGGAAGAAACACTTTTCACGCCTGCTGAATGGCAGTGGAAACGAAAAACCCGAAGATGGTGAACCCAAAACCAAACCGGCCACGATGGTGCATACACCAGCTTCCTTGCAGAATATGGTCATATGAAAGATTGGAATCTTAGTGTGTTCTGGACCGTATTGCTGTTAGGACCTTATTAGTGTGGCTTTAAGGTCTTGTAAGTCAATCATTGACCACATCGTACCATTGCGCCAGATCTTGGAAGAACCCCGTGAAAAGAGGATCGGCGCCCATTCAAGGGCCAATTTTCATGGGTCGTTAGTACTATTACAAACGCAGGGTTCAAGAGCTCAATGAGGCTTAGGCGAGGAAGTTCTCTGTGAAAAGATATGTTAGGTCTAAAAGTGCGTAAGGGTTTCGCATCCAGGAAAATGGCTATGATCTTCATAGCAGACTTTAATGCTGTGTGCCGAAGTTCAACCAAGTGAGGAAAGTTTTTGACTGCCATTTACCTGGGAGTGACCAGAAACGATTCTATTACATATGGTTCGGCTCACTACTTCGGACTTAAGACTAAATGTACTCTGGGTAGCCAACAAACATCCGTTTGGAGGCGGACTAAAGTGAGAAGACTTCATCCGGTTGTGCATAGGGTTCGGAGCCTACCACATTGAAAATATAATCCAGTGAAAAATCATAAAAAGCCTCTGAATGAGAAGTGCTGGCATTCACCTCGTCTCATCACAATTCACATTAAAAGGAAATATTTCAAGATACCGCGTCATATTTGCGACGTTGTCCTATGGAAGAGAAGGACGATGGGACCAAGAATACCTTTTATGATCACATAGAGCATACTTATGAGCGCTGCCACCACAATATCGAAATTTTGCTTGGTGAATTTTTGGTAAGGATGGGCCAAGAAGATATGTTTGGCACAACTCTCGGAAAGCTCAGCCGAAATATCCCCGAAATGGGTAGAGAATTATGGACTACTGATAAACTTTGCCGGGGCCCGAAAATTCATCAAGCTACCTGGCTGTCTCCAGATCGATCATATTGTAATAGACAAACGACTGTTCTCCAATATTCTAGATGCTCGTATGTTCCGCATCCGCTTCTGTGTATGAAATAACCCGTCAACAAACGCAAGGTAGTCTCGTTTCGATAAGCCGCAATCACAACGGACAGTTGAATGGTTTTTAATTCGACTTACACACGTTCTGAGAGCACTCATCAACAACTGGATATAAAGGAACTGAGGTACGGCATCTTAAAATCCCTACGTAACGTCGCTACCGAAGCAAGTGGTTTTCGACAGTATCAGGAAAAAGCTGGTATGATGAGCAATGTCAAACTGATCACAACACGTGCAGGGTGGGATACATACCGAGGCCCACAAGGGCGACGAACTTAAAGGTGCTCCGCCGAATACATAAAAAAGTGACCTCTAACGGTCAGCGTCAATTACCGCGGGACTATCCTCGTAAGAATGACATATAAGGTTCTATTGGACGTATTGTGTGAAAGACTAAGCCCGTCCTTATCAGTGCGGCTGTAGATCTGGTAAAACCAACATGCGTAAAACCTTGGGAAAGACACGTGAGAAAAGGATCGATACACATCGCATATTCATCGATTTCAAAGCTGCCTTCGTCAGCACAGAACAACGGAACGACTCGGCCCCACTTAACCGTTTACAGTCATAAATTCGAGGTCGTGGATTATTTTTTCCTATCTATCAGCCATGAAATCGAACTCAGAATCACTCTTGCCAACAGGTGCTTCTTTGTTTTGAGTAGGCAATTGAAATGCAAAGTTTTCTCTACGAAGGAACAATTCAAATACGGTGGGGAAAAGCTGATAAGGTGCATGCATCAGCTTATTTGCAACTTGGATGGTGGGATGAAAGTGTGCGCGACGATTGGAACTTAAGTTTGTTCTGTCCACTGCATAAAAAAGGGGGGTCTCATAATCTACGCGTCAATATCGAATATCAGGTTTTATTGAACGTCTTGTGTGAAAGATTAAAATCCACCGTCAACAAACTGATTTGACTTATCAATCTGGTTTTAGACCTGGAAAATCCAGCATTGACTAGATATTCACCATTTTTTTCGTCGATTATAAAGCATCCTTCGAGAACACGAAAAAGAGTTCCCTCCAGCAGCTATGTCTGAAGTTGGTATGCCCTTAGGAATTTTCGAAAGAAATGTTTTGCGTAAAATGGATGGTTCTTTGTTCGTTGGCATCGGCGAGTACCGGACATGTGGCCCGAATGGATGAAGAACACTACACTTGGTCTTCCAATTGGTATCAACCGTAACGTCAGTAGAGAATAAGATATAATTGCTGGAAAGACGAGATTTCAAAAGTGTAATGGTGGAAAAGTTTTTGGTTTCATAATAAAATAGAATATATTATAAAATAAGGTTATGAATTTGGAGAGTTTTAAAAAAGTTTGGGGGACTTTTGTAACCAGTTTGGAATTTCTTGTTGAGATGACTCAAAGGAAAATTCAACCAATGTGTACATTTAAAAAATTATCTTGCAACCAGGTGGAGAGACTGCAAATACGGGGCCCAAACATTCAGAATTGCCGGGATTTAAGGTTTCCTTTTGGAGATTTTCGTAGAAGTGTTATACTTCCAAGTAAAATAAACAAAAATGAAATAAAACAAATGACAAGCACAGCTGGGTACCGTAAGTTTTTAATAAATATTTTTATAAACTGTATCGCTTAGAAGTTAACTTTGGTCAGAAAAATCTCTGCCAGGTCAAATGGTGTAATACATTATATTACTTATTAAACTAAATAAGTTATAATAATCATTATTTTATTTATTATTATTTATTATTTTTTTATCATTTAACAAATATTATTCCAATCGGAAAGTTTTAATTGGTAACATTTTGGCAAGCTCTTGAGAAAACTTGTGAATCGGTTTTATGAAATGAAAATATACAAACATGTATATTTGATATGTATACATACGTCCGGTTTTGGATATTTACCAACCCGTTTCCTAGCTTGTTTCTTTGGCTTAAGAGTAACTTTCGTTCTCTTCCAAATGAAGAGCAAAATTCATCCAATGGGTACGCTCCACTTCAACCATGCCCGAGTTTGTGTGGTTATATCCATTAGTATACAAACTCTTTGCGTTAAAACGAGAATGCGTTGGTTGCAGCTTTGTTTACCACATTTCTCTATTCATGAATTGTTTTCCACCATGCACCAAATACCACGAACGTACGCATGGGTTGTGTTCGTATTATGCAAAATGTATGGTTAGTACGTGTTTAGCCCTTATTCGGAATCGACGTTTTAACTTATTCTTTAGTGCGGACAATGTAGATTGCTCTAAGAATATTATGTGTTTGCATATTTATATGTGTGTGTGTACATACCTATGTTTCTCTTTTGGACAAAACGGATGTGTGTGGGCATTTTAATTGCCGTGCTCGCCATCTCAACATTTGGATAGTCTTAGTTGTTATGTTCAAAAAAAGTATAACTATTTTGTGAAAGTGTGTATGTTTCAGTGGGTTGAATTATTATTAAATTTTAAAGAGTTAAAATGGTGGCACCAATAAATAAGTTGTTATACAGCTACTAGTTGCAATTGAAAAAGAGGATGTTTGTTGAATATACATACATGCAAACATAGATACATATGTGTATACCGATTGAAGAGTATGGATAAACAGGAATCCGAATACAATTACATATATGTATGTATGTACATATAATTATCTATGCATATAATCGAAATTTTGTGTATTGGCAAAAATTAAAATGCGTTTAAAATTCATTTAGAGCATCAACTCTAGTGTACGATACATAGTATATATTTACATATTTACATATATGTACGTAAATGCATATATACGCATGCCTATGAAAAGTGGCTTTGAAAATTTATTGAAAGTACATACACGTATGAAATTGAAAGATTCAAAAAGGATATTAATCAATCAACGAAGTGTAATATTCTACATCCTCAAATATATGTACATAGATGTATGTACAATACTTATATTCCATTGCAACTAAATGTCTATACATATGTATGTACATGCATATACACATGCATACATACATACGTATGAGCCCGGTTTGATTACATCAATTATGTGCGTTCAATTTATTCGTAAAACAAACGCATTTTGCACATGTGTCCTAATTCATAAATAAGAATTAAATTATTACCAATCAACATCTAAAACCAATTCATAAAATCTATATGCATATGAATGTACATACATATGTATATTTTATGTACCTGCATGTACATACATTCATAAATATATGTACATATATTTATCTATATTGCATAAAAGACGCGTTTGTTAAAGCAGTGCAAATATCAAAAAAAAAAATATATATATATATCTGAGAGATTGACGTGATTTGAAAAATGGAATGATAAAAGAGTTTTGTGGAAAAGAAGAGAAAAGTGTTAAAATATGCGTATAGTTTTAAAATTTGCTCATCGAAATACTATCCAACGATACATATATTGTATGTAAATAATATATACATATTAATGTATGTATATAAATATAGTAAATATACTCATGTATATACATACATACATAAATACAAGTATGTTTGTGAAAAATAGTTAGTGACCAAAAATCATTTATCGCCTTTTCCTCGCTAACTTATAACAAAAAATAAAAGTGAACAATTTGATAAATTATATATTGAGCGTATGTATACACATCATGGGAATTTAAAACAAACATAATACCTACAAGTAAATAATACTTGAATTGTGTGAATGGGATGCAACCTTAATAAACGCAACTAAAATTCCAAAATGTTACGACTATTACTACCGGAAAAACGGGATGATAGCAAGACTGGAAATTCATTCACAAGAGAAAATATTAAAGACGTCAACAGCAAATGGCGACTTTGGTGTCCACTTCATCTACACCGTGTTCTTAGTTGGCAACGATATCGAAGGTTTCGCCTTCTTATGAATCGCCGTTTTATGTCCAATGGTGAGTTCCTTCTCATGACTTTTTTCTTTTTTATAATTGACGGAAGGTAAAATGTTTCATTCATTTTGCAATCTAGCTCTGCACTTGCTTATAACTTGTTTTTACCGTCAACAAACTGATATACATATACACATGCATGCATACATACATATACGTTCATCCACGCTTAAATGCATACACATACATCCATACATACATACATACGTGCAAGTTACAACATACATATGTATGTATATGTAAGTATATCCGCTGAAGAAAATTTTCTGATGCACCTGTGCTTTGACAAAAATGGCGTGCCAAGTTCTTGATGTTTGTTATCCAACCAAGAGCAGCTGCTACTGCTATACACAAACACACACATACGTGTGAACATACGGCTTTAACCGAACATATGTACATATGTATATATACTAAAGTGAGTAGATATTTATGTGTGTATTAACGTATAGGCATCAATAATACGTGTTAGCATCGAGCATACTTAGTAGCTTAAAACTGGTTTAAAACCAGATTGGATGCATCTTTGCCAAGCGAACATAAGAAATAAACTTTTCGGATCTATGAGAATAGTTGCGATTTGAATCTATGAGCACATACATATATACACATACATAGATATTAATTTGTTTACCCAAACTCGATCTCATTCAAAGAAACCTTAAATAATCACAGCTCCGTGCGGAAACTAAGACTGGATGGTTAGAAGAGAATTGGGTGTCTCGTTTTACTACTGCCATTCATTCCTTTAGTGCTGTAAGTGATTTAGCAAGAACTAATTTTTTACATACATACATACATACATACATATGTATGTGTTAGTGTGTTTTTGCCAACAAATTTTGTACAACACACATGTGCATATGTATGTACATATGTGAATGTATGCACTTGTACATCTGCTTATAATACCTAGTGTATAGTTTGATTTTCCTGTTTGACTTGGAAATACAAAAGAAAATGGCAAATATAAAAGCATACATACTCGTACATACATATGTAGATATGTATTCACGTTCATAAGTTCATATTATGAGTGTGCTTGTTTTATTGAGCGACCAAGTTAAGTTCGGTCGAAACCGAACTTTGGAAGCCCAAGATAAGTTCGTTCAATACCACAGGTGTATATTGTACAATTAAATTATGTTCGTGTTTACACGCGCTACCAAGCTTCCCACCTTCTGACTTCTATTCGGGCTTTAAATAAATGCAAGCTGCGTAGAATTTGGATGTCTGTAGTATAACATTCCTTCACCTGAAAATTCATCAATCTACCTGGCTGATTCCAGATCGATCATATTGTAATATACGGACAACTGTTCTTCAGTGTTTTAGATGCTCGTACGTTCTGCGCCCGCTTCTGCGTATAAAATAACCCGCCAACAACCGCAAGGGAGTTTCGACGTCGATAAGCTGCAATCGCAGCGGACAGTCGAACGGTTTTATATTCGACTTACACACGTTCTGAGAGCACTCATCAACAACTGGATATAAGGGAGCTGAGAAACAGCATCTTAAATTCCCTACGTAACGTCGCTACCGAAGCAATTGGTTTTCGACAGTATCAGAAAAAAGCTGGTATGATGAGGAATGACAAACTGCAGTAGAGAGAAAACAGATTGCTTACCACGCAACCTCGCGATTGATCACAACACGTGCGGGGTGGGATACATGCTGAGAGAGAGAAGAACTTGAGAATCTGGCCAACAAGGGCGATGCTTCGAAATTTTATGAAAAGTTGCGGGGATTAACAGAAGGTTCCTCACTGGGGCATACTTATAGATGGTGAACACGAAATTACAATTGATGTTGAAGACTATGATGAGGTTCGAATACTGATTGCGATTGCCTGTTTAAAGAATAACAAACCAGCTGGAACTGATGGCTTACCGTCAGAGCTGTTCACCAATGATAGGGAAGAACTGAGAAGGTGCAAGCATCAGTTTCATTTGGACGCATGCATGGCCGACGATAGGAATTTGAATACTCATTTATATAAGCATATATTCATTTTATATTTTTTTGCCCCTTTGGTTGTAGTGTGGAGTCTTGTTTGTGGATAGTAATATTTTTATTCTATTCTATTTTAAAAAGGAAATTCCTTTATGTGAAGAAAAAATCTGAAGCTATTGAAACAGTAAAAACACTGTAAAACTGCTAGATTAGCTGCAGACAGGGAAGTATAGGAAACTCCACGCACTTTTTATACAATTAAGCCGACTGTCAGGTGTCGAAAACAAGATTTTTGGAGTATTCTCCAAATATGTATTTTTTTTTTACTTTTTTAAGAGAGGGATAGGTAGTTTGAAAAGAAGTTTGATAGTTATAAATCCGACTACGAAGAGAGAATGAAACTACCTTTAAATTATCTAATCTACGAAAACGTATTTGTGTTTTATTTTTTGACCAACATTTGTCAATCAATGATTTTCAACAAAAATACTCAAATTATGTAGTAAAATTTTCAACCTGATAAAAAATTTCATGCTAAAACTAACAGAAATAGTCCCGAAGTATTTTTAAAACTGTTTTGTTTTTGTTTAAGTCATGAGCGTTGTAAAAACCGATTATCTCAGATTATAATAGATCATAAAAGCTACTGTAAAACTGCACACTATTTTCGAACTTAATCTTGACCACAAAATTATAAATATATATATAGAAGACTAGTTTTTTGAGTAAAAACATTAGTTTTCAAAAAAATTGTTCGAGCCTTTAATCAACAAAAAATGGATGATAATTTAACTATTTATTGGGTATCTGAAGATCTGAGAGCTACCTCAACAAAGGTTTTGGAAGTCATCCTCGACATAGGACGACCAATTGATAATTGGATCCAATCCTTTAACTGTGAAGGACATGACATTATAAAGAAAGGGGAACAGAACTGGGTCTAAACGAACGATGCGACTTGATAAAGGAAACCTTTTGTCAGGTCCAAGTCACTTATGTATGTTAAGAGTTTTTTGGCTGCAGTTGAAAGTTGGTCTTAATCATTTTATGGTTCTGGCCAGTTGCAACAAAATTTTGTTTTATTTTTAATCGTAGAACACAAAAACGCTAATTTTGTTTTTTTTTTTTGGAGAGTATTTTATTTGTATCAAACTACAATATTTGGATTAACTTTTCAGACGCATCTAACATTTTACTTTTACTTTAATTTACTTAATTTGTAAAAATAAACTCAGTTTGTAAATATAATATAGTATAGCTCATACTTAGTACGAGTATAATCCATTAATTGATTGATTAATAGGAGAACGTGGCGTTTAAGTGGATGTGCTACGAGCTAAAGAGTCATTAATTCGAGTTTTGGCAAGCCCAATATTTAAAAAAATGTTTCTTTTAAAGCGATCGCCTGTGGGCAGAAGGTGGCCAAGGGTGGTTAACCTTTTATTTTTGCTGAGTGAAAGCTTTTCGAATTTTGCTGGAAAATCAGCAATATGTATACTACAAATAGAAGTAAAAGATCAACATTTAATCGCAATTATAAAACTCCAATTATTAATAACCCACTTGAGTCAGTCAACTGTCTTAATCGCTTTCAATAGATGAATATGATCATTTCAAGAGAGGCCTAATACTTGACAAAATCGTTGCAGTTGTACAAACATACATATGTTCTCTCAACCGCCCCATTTTTCCCATAACTGAAGCAGCGAAAATATAATATTCAGTTGCATCTGAACCATGTATTTATATGAGAGTATTTAGATATCCATTCAGTATTACTTTACATACGAATACATACACGTGTATGTGTGCATGCATTACATGCGTTGCCTTGCATATATACATGCACACATATAATATTTACCCGTACTTTTGCATTTACCACAAGAATAAGTAAGATTGGCTTTAATAGTATAAGCTTCCTTATTTTCACACAGTGTGTTCCCATCTTTGGCGGAATTCCCACTATTGTTAAAATTGTAGTTTTTTCAGTTTTGGTTACTCCAAGTATTGAAACTCGTTTTTATGGTGTATTCGTTTACGGTTGGCTGAATTTTCGACAAGAAACTATTTTATTGTGTGTACGGTTGTGAGAAATGTAAGTTTCAAATTCAACTTTAAACCTTTACGCCCATACATATATGTACATTAGGGTGTGACGTCAGTACAGATACCATTTGCCAAAAGAATTAATTTTCGCAATCCAATACAATTCAAATGATAGGATATGCGCTTGCTTTTCGTATAACTCTGAAATTGGTAGGGACGTATTCTACCTTTGTGAATGAAAACTTGAATTTCAATGGAAAACAATGATAACAAAGTAATGCGCATTTTTTTCAAATCATGTAAAAGTATTGATAAAATTAAATAAGAAATATAAAAATATGATAATTAAAAACAAAACTAAAAATTCGGGTGTGTGCATTAATTCGTGGGGTTTTTTTTCGAAAATTAAGACCTTATTGTGAAAAAATGATTTTAATCGTCTGGAAACGGTTGCTTGATCAACCCCTGATACTATTGCAAGTTCTTCTTGCGTCTGGCATGCAATGCAATATCTACAATTCTTCGTCTTGAAATTTTTTTGGCTGACCTTCGTCTAAGTCGAAATTTGCAATTTTTTACCGTTCAAACCACTTTTGGCACGTTCGTTCGGCTAAAGCATGGTCACCATAAACATCCAGTAAAATACGATAGTTTTCGATAGTACTTTTCTTCATGTTAAAGTAATGAAGGAAAACTCCCCGCAAAAACACTTTAACGGGTACAAATATCGACATTTTCAAATGAATGAAACAAATTGTAGTTCACGCTAAAACAAAAGACATCTACTGAAAACGACGCGAAATGACAGCATCTTTGAAGTGAATATAGTCACAGATGAACACGATGCGAAATATTACTAGTAGAGCCCTCTCTTAGAAAACCGCACGAATTGTATGCATTAATTATAATGTATAATATATTTCATAGATTTGATCGCATATCATCTTTCAGTGATAATATCATAAAAGGGCATTAAAAAATAATCAATAATTTGAACTAGTTAGTCCCTACATATATTTTTCTTACGTTTAGTGCTCTCCATGTTTTCTCAAACTCTTTCAATGAAAGTGTTCAAAGTTATACACGAAACAACTGAATGGTAAGGAAGGGAAAATTTCTGAATGCATGAAACTTCAGAAAATTTTCTTGGGAGAAAAATGTCACTTGTGCCACTCTGACTGAGGTATCTCTAAAAAAAACATTCTGAACGCATCATCCACCTTTCCTTGTGTCGAAAAATGTTGATCTCTCAGCATATTTTTTACATACGGACGGAGATAAAAGAAGCCAAGTCAGAGTTATATGGTGGATGACTCATCAAATCGATGTTTTCAGTGCTCAAAACTGCAGTTGTTTTATCATTTCTCTCAACCTATCGACACGAGCATTTTTTGAGTAGTTGACAAATTGTGCGGGATCCAACGTTAACTATTTTTCTATAGTAAAAAATGTTCATGCAATATTACATGTATGCTGGTCCTACTAATACATATACTTGTCTCAGTTTGCGCGCAGCATCAATAGTTTCCGGAAAAATAATTGATTTTGGATGGTGAAAAATTAAATTAAGTTCGTGGATGCACTGTGGCTCAGTTATTCCACGTCGAAAGTTGAAAAAAATAATCGCGCTGAAAGGATTGCGATTTAGCTTAATTTTTTGGAGGGGTTTTATTTTAAGTTACTGTGAACAAAACGTTCTGAACAATCTTTTTTTTTAGTTTTTGCAAACCTTTTCAATACACACTTCTCAAATATTTATTTTTCATCAATAGAATTCGTATAAGGCATTTTTAGCACACATACGATAATTAAGGTTACCGATATATTTCGGTAAAAATAGTTTTAGAAAATTAAAATAGTTATATATGTCTGTATGGAATAAAACTTAATTGTGAATACTTACTACATACATATGTATCTATAAATTCAAATATACTAAAACCATTTATTTTCAATTGTCTTTCAGGATTTTTATTTATATTACTTTTTGCGGTGTTTCTCACTCCAATATTGGCCCAACAACAGAAGTTTCGGGTTGCGCCATCTGATCTTCAAGTATTGGAGGGTGCTGAAGCCATGATGCGCTGTGAAGTTTCAAATCAAGCGGGATCTGTGCAGTGGACGAAAGATGGATTTGCATTAGGATTCTCAGCTGTTATTCCTGGGTTCCCTCGTTATTCGCTTTTAGGCGATCGTAATCAAGGTGTTTATAACTTGCGTATTTCGAATGCTTCAATCAGTGACGATGCAGAATATCAGTGTCAAGTCACTCCCGCGCGACTCAACTCTGCCATAAGAGCTAACGCAAAATTAACAGTTATATGTAAGTATATCAACATCAATATATGTTTATTAAGAGAATAATATAATCAAAGTTGGCTGTGAAAATTCAATACACTGAGCTTATATCTAAAGACAACCACAAAACTCACCCTGCGACTTTTGACATTATACAAGGTAGAGATAAAGCGCGGTGAATTGCGATACATTGTGGCTAGATGTTGAATATTTCCTGGTTATTAATCGAAAATTATGTATATATAAATCTTTTAATGCCTAAAAAGTAATAAATAGATTGTAATATGGGTTAAGATATAATAGGGATTTCAGTCTTAAGAGATAGATAGATCGGACAAAGATATCTGCTATAAGAATTGTTCTTTATCTTATAACCTTTAAGATTAGTACAATATAATTCTACTCGGGAACGTATCGTATCAAAATGAGGTGCTTTGTGAGGAGTAATGAAGAATATCTGTCAAATAAGTTTAAAACAATGATCCAGGCTTCAAATACTGCCTTAGGTAAATATGAGAGGCTGCAGGATTATTCGTTTTTGGTCGTTGACTTATAAAAATCTAAACTTGATTGAGTATTTTCTAAAATTACGCTATTTTATAATTTCTTTGAACTATTATAAAAACATGGGTTTCTCAATGAAAAAGTTTCCGATTCACTGAAAACCCACAGGGTCAGAGATTCTGGTGTCGCTGATAACGAATGTAACATTATTTTTAAAGATTCCAAAAACTAACTAATTTTACAGTGATTTTTCATAAGTTTTTCGTAAATTTTTAGCACTTAGCACTGACTGTTCTAATTTTTCTGTATCGTCATCTTCCTCTTGCAAATTTCACTAAATGTTCCCATGACTCGATGAAAACGCTCGCCGTGTATGGCTGGTGATTGTTGCAGCGAGCACGTCGTCAATTGATGCTTTCACACTATGCCCTGCCACAAGCTCTGTATCAAACACTGCTTTATCAAATGGTTCGCCCTTCACCAAACGACGAATGTTCATTGCATTCATATCCTTCTGAATTTGATGCTCTTAAGAAATTTTAGACAACTCCTAGGTCGCCAACGAAACGGGAATCCCACAAGTAAATGCGGCACATATTTTTGGTATAACTCAGATTGGTGAAAATATGTCGTACATCACGAATAATATTTTGCGAAATTATTGTTCATATATTTTAACTGGGCATAATAGCAAATTCTTTGAATGTTTATCAATTTTTGAAAATTTACAATAAATTTAAAAAACCAGTGTGCGAAGAATGACTAAAGTACCATAATTTTCACAATTAAGGGCAGTTGATTATTGCAGATAAGCAAATCATAATACCAATATACATGGGCATTGAAGGATTCTTCATTAATTCAACCATCATATTGAATACGATGTTTTTAATTTGGAAATTCTGTTTCCATGTTCGTCATATGCGACTCCAAAAAACTTCGAGTATAAAATTTCAAGTGAATTTCTGCGCCACATTGAACCTTTCATGTTCATTCAATTTTGGAAAACCAACAATAGATTGATAATGAGCGACTCCAAAAGCCCTCCGAACAAAGAGTTTTGTTGAAACTTGAATGCAACTCTACAAACCAATCGCAGATTTGTCTAAACTAATCTTTATATAAGGGCTTATGTACTTAATTATGTCTAAGAAAAACCGCTTAGAATATCACACCACTTTTGTAAAACGGCACTCTGAATAAAGCTGCTAAACGGAGTAAACACGTTTTTCTTTCACTACGTTAATTTCTGTAACAATTTTCAAGTGATTTTGATAGATTTTAAAAATTTGATAGCCATATTGAATCCGTCATTTTGAGTTTTGAAAAAAGGATTTTGAATTCGTAATCCAAAAAATCGACTCCAAAAACCCTGGCTCAGCAAGTTTGCATTGAATCCCAAGTTTTTTGATGGATAAAACATATGTTTTTGTAATAATCTCGAATATTTTGTACATGAGAGCTAACTTTAAAAACGGCCAACGCCATAGAACTCAGCATAGTCGTACTAAATATATCTGAAAGGTGCTACATTTGTCGGGAAAAAGTTCCAAATATGGACACACATTGTAGAATACATAAGACAATCGTCTTAGAAAAAGCCTGAAATCAAAATTCAATCATTTGCAATGGACCATCAAAACATCCATCAGCGACAAATTTATTTAGCAATAACTACAACGGCGATACAATTCGGAATATTTGTCAAGTCTTTCCTTGATCCGATGTGTTCTAAAAAGGTTTGCATTTCAATTCGTCTTCATAATAAAGGATGTATTGTCTGTACATGAATTTATTAAAAATATTAAAATTGATCCCATGCCTACAGAGTTAACAAAATTTCCCTCTAATTCATTAGATACAAATCTATTTCCCATCTTCTTACGCGTTTTATTGCTTTTTAATTTTTATATTTGATTCAAAGTGGCCTTTTTTTGTATCCGTGATTTTACCAATCAATGGAAAGCAATATTTAGCTTTACTTTACTTATCATACCACCCGGATTTAACTATAGTTGCTCGAGCTCTATGCTCGTTTTCAGATACAATACGTAAATTCTACAGAACATTGCAATATATTGTTTTTGGACTTTCAAACATAAAAAACACTGTTGGCCCATTTTTTTAAAGCAATTTTTCGTTCGTTGGTAAATGTCCAACAGTCAGTAAATTTGCTAAAAAAAAAAGATGTAAATCAAGCATTTACGATGTGTGTTCAAAGGAAAGAAGTACTTTTTATTCATCAATCTATTTTGTCCCCATTAAAGTAATTCTCCTCGGATATAATACACATTTTCAGTTTTGGGAATAGGAAAAAGACACAGGAAGCATAATTTGGTGAACACGTTGCTTGAGGCATGATTACGTTTTTGGTTTTCACGTATAATCCATCCACGATTTATTTTTCTACGACTCCGCTCTTTTGTGCCGTATTGCTTCACGTATAACTTCTTGCAGTATTCTTTATTAACTGTACAACCTTTTGACATCAAGTAATGATGCACTTGCCAACTCATCATGGCCTTGTATATATGATTTATTACTATTTATAAGAGGTGCTTATATGACTTTGTTTCTTTGTACAAAATTCATAATGACATGGTTTAACCTATGCACATATGTATAGATATACCGACAACCTCAGCAACTTATCTGATAGTAATTCCACAGTTTCCAAAATGATTTTTCTTCACTTTTCGCTTCTAAAAATCAAGAATTTTTGAATGGGGAATAAATGAATGATGATTATGAGGGTTCGAAACTACACATAATATATCAGAAATCGAAGACCAAAGACCCATATATACATATAATATATGTATGTATGTACATACAAATTAGCGATTACTACTTATTTGCTTCTATTTAAAAATTTTCAGCGCCACCTGGGTCAATTGAAATACAAGGTTATGCTCACAACTCCAAAGTGGAAGTAAGAGAAAATCAGGATTTGTCGCTGAACTGTGTTGTAGGAAATGCCAAGCCAGCTGCTCAAATTATTTGGTATCGAGGCAATGTGGAATTCCAACAAGGTAATTGATTTACTCTCATTTTCTTATCCAAAAACTATTTTTTTTTTATTATTTATTTATTGTATTTTATTAATTCATTATCCAAAACGATTACAAGATCTAAAATTTTATTAAAAGATATTAAGCCCATTCGATAAAGCTAACCATTGGACACTTAGGCTATGACGTTACGATCGTTATTTGGAAGACGGCATAGTTGCATGCTGTTGCCATCGCCGGAAGAGTTGTCACTCTAATGGCTTGAATAAAAAAACTTAACTTTGCAAGCTTTTTATGTGAATAAAACGTATAGGGATAACAATAACTGTTTGTTAAAACCGTTTCTCCCGATTTCAAAATTTTGAGTTACGGACAGTGAGTCGGTACTTTGCAGGGGATAAGTCGCTGTTGTCGTACAGTAGCGTCGTACAATGACCTAACTGCTAAATGCTTTAATCTTTAAATAATTATACATGGGATTTTTTCCTTCCAATATTCAAAAATTTTAATGAAAAGTTACTTAATAAATGGTTGTTGTTGTTGTTGTAATATTGTATGCTCAATTTCAGGGCAACGAGTTGATAAAGTTGAAGAGACTTCATCGAAACGCTATACTACAAAGTCCACGCTAAATATAAAGCCAACTTCTGGTGATGATTACACGGAATATACTTGCCAAGCCAAGCACAAAGCGTTGCCTCCGGATATGCCAATGCGCTCGACCGTTCAGCTTTCAGTTTTGTGTAAGTATTACAGGATGTACTCGCACATCCATACGCATGCAACATATGTACATATATACAATAATTGCAACAGTTGCCAGAAGATTTCTAATTAAAATTATTAAATGATTACATGATTTTTATTCGCCAAAATTTATAAATATTTGCATAATTCAATTACAAGTCGCTAAATCGCGAAATTATAACTCTAACAAATCCGTCTGAATAATTCGAATTAGGTGTTAAAGAGAAATGCTCACTATTAGTACCTTTTTTTTTTCAAAAAATACCTACAATTACGCAAGACCGCTGTAGTAAGAGTGTGGAGGGAGTCCGCGTTAAAGAAGTGCCTAAGAAATAGTAAAATGCATGTTAAATGTGCTAAGTGAGTTTTGCTAAACAGGCTCTGCTGGTTTTTCTTCTATCGGCTGTAATATTCACTGAGGAAGCCAGTTCTGAGAGCCACGAGTAAAGCTCTAGGTAAAATTACAACATCAGTAAGGCTTATTTCAGAATATGGCATAGTAATTTGGAACTCTAGGAAATCTACTCTGATACATCCGTTCTTCTATCTGAAAGCAAATTTGATGTTCTATTTAGAACGTCCAGATATTTTTACTGTCTTTATCATTTAGCCCAATTGACCTATTATATATATAATGGGTCAATTGGACTAAATTATATATATAATTGGCGCTTTGTAACCTCCGAGCTTCTCCTTTAAATTGTGGTTTCGTTTGGTTTATACTAAGCCGCCTCCGAACGGCTGATGATTTTTCATGAGGAGCTTCATTTCATGTCCGAAATACACTCGGTGGCATGGACATTCCCTGCCGAGGGGCGACCGCAGTTAGAAAATTTAATTCTTATTTAAATCAATTTTCATTATCTTTTTGGATGTTGGTGGCACCGATGCTCTATTAGGCCTAGCAAAGAGCTGTCCTTTCTTTTTGCAATAGATGACTTTAGTGATCTGTATTTCGCGTACAATTTTGGCTTCGCCGATTTCGTTCTGGTAGTTTTAATGTAAAAGATGCTCCATGGTTTGAAAATCTCTACCTGTGAATCGCTGCTAAAATCGTAACAAAATCGACTCTTACAGCAAGGTCAAATGGAAACGGTCTGCCAATCTGGATTGACGGCCAGGAAGATTTGGTTGTAAGGTTGCTGGTATTTGAAAGGAATCATACACCATAAGCTATGCCCTTACGGTCATACTCTTAATTCGATCCTGTACTGTCAGCAATTGGACAGTCTCAAGGAAGCAATCGCTAAGAGCCTCTCAGCTTTAGCGAACAGGAGGGGATTTGTGTTTCATCAGGACAACGCACCAAGTGATTACCTCTGTTCTTATCAGTGGGGAATGATTTAGCTGGATGAGAGTTGACCTCAAGCCTGTGAAAATCGATTGCCAATAGGAGCAAGGTTTTCTCTTCCATACGTTATGCGGACTGCGCCGCTTATGCGGTGGGAAACCGTTAAAAATACTAATAACACATGTTTGAAGGAGGAACCGGAACCTGGCCGAAAATTGCTTCAGTGATTACAAAGCGCCAAATATGTATATATAATAAATGTTTGATATTTGAAGCAAGTATGAACCAGTTAAGTTTAGATAGATTGAACAATTAGATGATTGGTTGATTGGTTGGTTGAAATCCATAATTTTTTGTTGCCCTAGCTAGGACTCAAACCCACGATCATCCGCATAGCATTACGTCCTGTTACTCATTCTGTTACATCAGCCGCCGTATTCAACTATGATATGATAAAAGAGTGTGAATAACATTAATATTTTTCGACGTAGCCCTTTGGTGGAATAAGATCGAAATATTTCCTTGCGGTAAATGATCGCCCTATTATTCACATCTCAGCTATATTGGATTGTCATCATGCAACTCAATTCAACTAATTTTGCATATTATGCTTCACAACCAGTTTTCGTTGACTTCATCAGGTTAGTAAGAACGGCTGGTAGCCTCGATAGTTGAGTTGAGTTATAAGCCATGATACAAAGTAGACAATAGACAACTCAACTAACAACATAGCTGTGAATCATAACAGATGCATAGGTTTTAGACAAATCTGTAGGTTTTTCTCAATTAGGAAGACTGTTCGTGTTGCGTTCAATAAAATATTATCATCATATAAACATACATATGTATTTAGGTCTGCAGAAATCCATTAAAATATATCAAATCTGCTGATATGGAAACGCTTCTTTTTGTTTATACAAACGCCCACCTTTTTGACACTTACGCAAGTGTAAACTTATAACATGTATTGTATAAGGTTTATTAGTGTATGTTTGAGTGTACATATGTTAGTCTCTACATACATACGAAAAGTCTTCCAAATATGAATACGTATTTTTTAACATAATTTGTAAATTTTGGAACACCCTAAAGCATTTGAACTTTTATGGTAGACAAAACATCGTTGAAAACGCCCCCAGCTTATTGCGTTTGAGTTGCTTTGGACTTTTTCATAAGCTTCAAATTCGAAAAAACCTAAATTCGTAAAAATTGCTATGTTTTTGATGACAATGCACTTAGAAATATCAGCCAAACCAAGGTCAATTATGCAAAAAATAGTAAGATTATAAATACGTATAAATATAACCACAAATATTTTATAAAAATATACATAAATAGAAATATAAAAAATTGTTAATATTTCCAGATAAATTTGAAAAGAAATATCCATAGAGATCTCGAGTAGTAGATATATGTATATGCGGAACAAAATCCACCTATGAAGATAATTAAATAATGATATTTATTTTATTTTATCGCGGCTCTTCTAAAATCCGAATGGAATCAATTTTGCATCGGTTTAGATTTCCTACTCCAAATCAAAAAAGTGCTCTGCAATCCTTTACGAATTGAGACATTCGAAGAAAAAGCAAATCTGATTCGAGAGGTCAAAAATCCATCAAGAAAAGCAAATGATTTACACTTTTGCATCCTTACCAAAAATTACATAAAATTTAAATAAAATTAATACTATAATATTAATGTGACCAAGTTCAATTTAACGTGTCTTTAGTATAGACAGTAGATTAAAAACATTAGCTGAGCTCGTTGAGAAATGTTAATTAAAATTAGCCAGTGAAGAAACTAAGGGATTAAGATGTATTACTCTAGCAAAGAAAGAAGTTTGCTTAGTTGTCACCGAACCAGATTCAATAAAAATTAGCCAGCAAGTTGTTGAAGTTGAATCCGTTCATTTATGCTGTTTTTTTTTTGGTCCGCTTCTTTATTTAAAATTCTGCATGCTTTGCAGCCATACGACGATGTTTTTTCTATTGTAATAGTACCCTAGATTTGTCGCATAGATTAAAAAAATTCAATAATATGATCACAAATCAGATGTTTTTCGTATTTGCTAGTTTTTACTGACTGAGATTTGGATTTACTAATTTTACTGGGTTTTTGTCTCAACGAATACGATTGAAAAAAATTCAGTTAAAATTTTTACTGCCCATTTAGTCAGCGAACAGAACTAATTAAACGCATGTTGTTATCACATTATCACAGATGCCACCACGGTAAACTGGTGTTTTCTAATCACGATATTTGACATTAAATTATTACAAGATTTATATTAATTATAATTCATAATTACAAATTGAAAATTATACTTATTTGTTATATACAAGCAAAATATTAAAAATAAGTGATGCAATAATTTCAGATCCACCTGGTTCACCATACATAGAAGGTTATACACAAGGGGAAATTTTACGAAGAGGACAAACGGTGGAGCTGGTATGTCGAAGTAGGGGAGGTAACCCTCCGGCACAACTTATTTGGTATAAAAATGGATCCCAAATTCGAATGGCATACAGGTGAGAAAAAAAGGATTGCAATGAATATTTGTTGTTTCTAATGTTTTATGTACTCATGACTTAAGAAAAACCAGAAATAGATAGTATTTCCTGTAGATGGATGACTGCTTTTAATTGAGAATCAAGAGAAAGAGAAACTGTGCCGAAAAGCTCTTATCTAATTTTAAAAGGGCAATACGAACTATATATGTATAAATGCCTGTGTATGTTAGTCGTTCTGTACATCAAGTAATTTTGGCAAATGAGTATAGTTTATGAGTTGAACTTCGCTTGACGATCAATCTTAGTAAAATACGAAAGAAGTTTTAGACTTCCGCGTAAATGTTATAAAAATATATGGCAATATTGATTACTTTAGGATCTTAATTAGCTTTTACATATACATATGCACATTTGTTTGCGAACATATGTATACAATCAAATACAGAAGTTTAAATACACCTATTGAATTACACTTTTTATGTATGCTAAATATTAATTATCATTCTAGTTAATAACCGACATATTAGTCTGTAGTTTTCCATATTTAATTTTAAACTATTTCATTTAAGGACCGCTGGCCGTTTATCGGAAAATATATACACATTTACAGCTGAAGCAAGTGACAATAATGCCCGATTTCGGTGTGAAGCCAGCAATGTTATGTCACAGACTCCGCTAAAAGCAGAAATAGATATAACAGTGCTATGTAAGTAAATTAATAAAAATAGTAATATAATTATAAATAGTTTTGCAGATTTAATTTCACGGTATATATGTTTATGTAGAGTCTAGCGAGATATTTTCTTGAAAAGCAATTACATTAATTTTAAAATGAACTAGCAAAAATATGAATTCTTAGAATTTTTTGAAAGTAATATACCTTTAACTTGTAATGGTATCTTTTCATTTTATACATTTGTATGTATCTATGCTAAGGTGAGTAATATATTTGGCATGCCCGATATCTTTTGGAATGGTTCATAATAGTATGCCTTACTCAGGAACTGATAAGTCATTTCGTATCCAATGCCTATTGTTGTAGAGTGATGGAGCCAGCGATTTCATTACTTGAAAAGTAGAGATCACCTTGCGCACCAGAAGTTAGTCTTCTTTTATGACCATATCAATAAATCCACTTTTTTTGTTTATAAGATTAGATGTTGTTATTCAGCGATTGTAACATTTTTCTAGAAATTTGTAATTAATCTGATTCTTAATGGATGAGCCAAGACAAATTGAGCTTCATCAATGTAATACCCGTTTTTTTTTTCAATGCTTTTTTTATTTCTTCAGTTGCCCCATTTATGTAATTAAAAGAGCAGAGTTTGCGTTCAAACATGTTACCATTTAGTCGAATGTTGCCAGATTGGTCGGACTAACTAACCAGCGTACCAGATGGGAAAAGCATAAAGCCGCTTCTGAATTTTAAAGAATGATGGGAATATGACCAACTTGTAGGGTTTGGTGTTTGTATGCCGATACATTTACTTTTAATTACCTACTTTTCAATTATTCACTCAGTCCAATGTAGTACTGTTTAGCAATAGGGATTGAGCCTTTGCTTGCGTTTTTTTTCTTTTGACCGACCGAAGGGTTTGCCTGACGGATGATCGAAAAATCCAACAGACCGGTGCCTCTTACACTAAACATCTACAGATTTGGTTATCAGCTGCTATAAATTACATGGGGAAAAAGAGAAGAATCAATGTTGCAGAAATGTGTATTAAAATCGATCTAAAAGGGTCGCACATTTCAAAGTTTGTTCTGCATGAACATAATGAAATGGATCTAAAGTGTCTAGATGATCTTAAAGGATTGGAAAAGTTAAGCTCACTAAGTAAAAAAAAATCAGGCCCACATTAAATAAAATTTAATTTGTTATTTACCCTTTTCATTTGTTATTGCGCTTGGAAATATGTATGTGTCTAACTTAAATGTTAGTTTTTTTTACCCTAATTTTTTGAAAATCGAAAAATTAGCCCAAATAATTTTAAAATTTTATTCACAGTCTTTTAATTATTGGTTTCATACAAAATTTCATTGGAAATTAGTCGGAAGCACCCAAAGCTTGTTATTAACATGAAATATTTTAGTGTTTACGGCCGTGCCTGTTGCAGGACGGACCGTCAATCCGACCTCTGGTCAGAGCATCATCGTGAAGGAATTTCTCTTAATGTAGTCGACTCTCGGCAGGAAATTGGTTCGCTTAGTACATCCAAACTACGTATTGTTAAACAAAGAAACATAACATAATTTCTTATTTGGGAAAGGATTATTTGTGTGGATTACGGACATCTTAAAAGGTCTTCATTTTCATATTCCAGCATAGCACTTTTAAGGAATACCAAAGTAAGATGTGCGAAGGTCCCTAATACAATTTCGTTTCTTTTTCTGTATTTTTAATTTTAATCATAATCAACAAACCATAAATACAAGCAGGCATACATATACATACATATAAAATACAAATAAAATGCGTCTTCTTAAAGCATTTCTTCATTGTACCCATCGGGCGTATTTTAGCTCTTTTCTTAAAACATCCATACCGTCGTACATCTAGACGTTAATCGCATTTCTCTCTGGTTCGCACAGTCGTATGCCGAACGCTTGAAAATCAAGTTTTAAGCATTGTGTTTTCGTCACGACCACGCACCCCTAAGAGTACGAGTGTTTGCATTCAGAACTTGGCGGGGGAGCTGAGACTCAACAGTTGATGGTGCAGTGGCAGCTGTTGTTTCCCAAGGCGTTGTTTCTGTTTAATATGCCAAGTGTTGTCAAGCGCACTCATACTTCATAGCTGTATGTATGTACATTCATACATCCCTACATACATTGAGTACTTCGTATATACATAAACACGTATGTATGCATGTACAAGTATTCATATGTATGTGAATTTGTAATTGTGAATACAATGAGCATAGAGCATATAAATGCAAACAAACAAACAAATATATTTGCATATATGCTATGCTGCTTAACGTTGTATACGACATGCATTCCACTATACCGTCATATACATGCATATGTATGTACATAAGAATGGACGTACAAATGTATATTCATATGTATCAACATAGTAAACTTAAGCATTTATGTACATATGTATGTATTGTATATTTATTTATACACACAGACGAGCAATTAACAATTGCATCCACAAACATACTTATTACTTACATACTCATATGAATTCATTTATGTATGTATGTTTGTATGTATGAATATAAAATTTAAGAAATTTAATTATATACATACATACATGTACATTTGTATCTACATATGTACAGAGGCTTTGACTTTTTTTTTCTTTGCTGCATTCTCCTGTTAATCCTATGGTTTCATTCTAGCGATCATCTACTTATACCTTAGTACGAGTACTTGTTTCCTTTGACTACTTCTCCTCTATTTTTAAACAGTTTTATTGAAATTTGTCTGCAGGGATCTGTCAGCGTTGTCCTATATGTAACCAAAAATATATTTTTGTTGTTTTAGTTTGTAAAGTAATGCATGCAGCACCCGCAATCATCTAAAATCATACATACAGGGTGCGGGCATAAAATACACGTATTTAATAATAACAAATCTTCTACGACATTTATTAGTAAAATTAAGGAAATAAGTAGATATTTTGCGCATGATCCATATATGCACATATGTACATATGTAAGTAAATCGATTTTTGGTCCAAGATATCTCCTCTGAATGTCAACGAAAAGACGTCGGTTAGGACAAGGCCAATTAATTAGTTTCGTGGTGTCATAAGTCATGAAATGTATGTAGAAATGGTTTCAATCTGCCACATCTTCCTCATGTACCGGATGTTAATACTATGTCTACGCCTATAGATCTAATTCATATATCTAGAGATATAATGAAGATCCGCTTGACCTCTGCTTCTCATCACAGGGAATTATAATAGGGTTTGGTGTTTGTTTGGCAAATATCTGTCCTTTCGTTACGCTGCAATTATTATTGCTGTTAATAACTGTTTCTAAATATGTAACGAGATGGCATCGGAAAATTTGTGCCTAAAAATTGCTATAAAAAAATTTTTACGTATCAAAAGCAAACGGTACATGGCTCATCCTATACAAGTACAAATTTTGCAGAGATACTATTCTAAATTATGAGGTAACGGTACTAAGAAGCTCTTCGTGCTGGAGAAGGTGATTTGAAGTCGATGCAGAGATATTGCGTCTCGAACCTTTTCTTTGATGCTTTTCAGACTTGCAGTCTCACTTATTTGAACCGCAGTTAAAAAGGCCGGAGAGTTATTCAAAAATGTTATCCATTAAAAGGTAGAATTTGTGCGTTTTCAGTATACAAATTTGTGTAACTACCTGCTTGGCACAGGTGCATACACTTTAGGTAGCCACCAATTTTTTTACTTACTTAGCTACTAAATTACTGAATTCTCATTTATATATAATTTTCTTATTTCTTTTATACCACCTTCACGTTTTGCCGATAAATTTATTAAAAAAGTTGCACCAACACATGTGTCGATATCAGGACCTACTGAAGCGCGAGTAGGCGATGTGCTCTCCTTAACCTGCTCTACTGCCCCATCTAATCCACCAGCTGAAATAAAATGGATGGTCGGCGGTCGCCAAATACGAAATGCGACTTCAAAGACGAACGTCAGTCCTGAAGGTGAGGTTCATAATTTCATTTATAGTTCAAAGAACATAGGGTTGGTAAAAATTCATAGACTTATGTTTTTATATATTTTTAAATTTCAGGTGGATGGGTTACTGTTTCCAACATAACCACAACTGTTGAGCCCAATAAAAAATCGCTTGTAGTAATTTGTCATGGACTCAATATGCAGTTAACAGAGAACGTGGTTTCAACACATACAGTAAATATTTTGTGTGAGTATTGCTTATCTCATTTATATCCTGAAGTGTATTTTAAAAGTTATAAGTATACACACCTACGTACCAAACATTTTTCTTTTTAAGAGGTACTAGTCCACTATTACTACTTCGTTATTACACCTTATTGTGCCCCTTGTTGGTGAACTACAAAAACTAAATTATTTGTCTCAAAATTTTAGATCTACAAATATTTAGTGATTCAATTGAGGATTAAAGTTTCAATATATGTAGTTTCTTAATATAGAGTGTATTTTCAGAAATGTCATCGTTGATCATCTCCTCCGTCGTGGAGTGATCATGTTTTAGGTGGTGGACCTCAAATTCCTCAAATTCCGCACTCAACCGCATTTTACTCACGAGTTTTTTTTATTTTGGTCAGGATACTCTAAGCGCAGTGTAGAAACATATATTAAGATTGAAAAGCGAAACAGCGCGCAAAAACCATACAGCAAAACTGCGATATCTAGATAATTATGTATTTACTTTTCCATAAACTATTTTGAGTAGCAAAAGAACATAGCTAAAACAAATCAAGCAGAGAGATGGTGAATCGATGTCTTTTATTGTATTTTAAAAAAGTCTTAAAATTACAAGAACTAAAAATAAAAAAATCACAGCAGGAGCTAATAGTGCCCGATTTTTCTTCGACTGTGCCACTTGAATATTCGGTGAAATTTCTGTATATGGACCAATGCACGTGTGCGTTATGTTATAGATACAATAATAACGCATTCACATGCATTTTTATATTTGTAACACAAACATTTGTACTCACACTCCGACATGTTTTTTCACTGAGAACCTTTATCTGCCCTGTAAGGCATGAGATGTCTCCCTCAATTTCGTTACTATCTTTTTTCACCGAACACAGCAATTATTTCTAAATATTCGCAGACTCCAATGTATGTATATATACATAACTTTGTTATGCTATATGTTACTATAAATGTACGAGTATGTGTGGCATCACACAAATGATCAGTCAAATTAAACTATAAATTCCGAAGTGCTGAAATGCCGCTAAATGAGTACAAAGCATAATGTCAATATATCTGACCCTATTAATTAATTAATTTAATTTTAAGATGGTCACGACCTTTTACTTTGCATGTACATACATACTGCCAACATATAATATGCAGTGGTGGTGCACTTAAGTCGAAGAAGATAAAGATTTGAAATTCTCTTATATTCCACCATTTAAATTACAGTGTTGTCTGAGTATATTTAAAAACTGTAAATTGTTGCCTTATGTAAAATATATAAACATGTGTACATAATAGTATTTCGCTGCCGAAATAATGGAAATGTTGTTGTAAGAGAAGCAACAGGAACTGAATTTTATTCATCCGTTCTTCATATCATTTTTGCTAGATAAATTTCAATGGTAAGGTATGTTGGGTCAGGAAAATTGAAAGTTTTTCGTCTTATCTATTTAATATTTTAGATGTGTTGCTCATCGACTCCTGTGTAGACTCGAGATAATACTGATGAATCTAAGTTTCATCAACTGTTATAATGCGGTTGCAAATTTCATTCATAATCATCTTAGCACAACTCCAAAATCTTTTCAACTGTCCAATCGTAGCTGTTGATCGAGCGCCGAGAGCATTCGCTGAACCCAGCGCGCGCTATTTTTTTTTTCATATTGAAGTTAATATTCATGCGAAATCTCTCCACCTCATTCTTTGTTAATCTGTAATCCTTCCGTTGTCTGCCACAATTTAATGCTTCGATCAGCCAGTACTAACTTTTCGACTTTCTGAACATTTTCTTCACTACCGTCACTGGCCGCACCGGGCTGGGGTCATTTTCTCACGTCTCTCTTCGTTGTTGAAACAGCCAAGCCTAATTTCTCACCACTGTATATGCTCCAAATTGTTAGAATTTCTTCTTTCCGTTGACATAGAGTCGTCTTTTGTTCCAAGAACGAAATGTTAATGAACCTTAAAAAAAGTGTTATTAACGCTAATAATGAGTCCCTCAATTAGTTTAATCAGTAAGGAGTTGATGTGTCATCTCTAACCACCTTAGGTCGTGAAAAAGTCAGAGGATCGATTTTAGTACAGCGTTTATATTTACATTTTTTGTACATTTTTTATACTACTTACGCGTTAGTTTGCATCCCACATTTAATGAGTACTTGTGTCTTTGATAGATCCACCATCGCCGCCTCTAATTTCTGGTTATATGGAAGGGCAAATTATACCAGCGGGTTCTGTTCAAAAGCTACTCTGTGTCTCGTCCGGCGGAAACCCACTAGCCACTCTCACGTGGTATAAAAATGATAAGCGGGTAAGTAAAACCACAATTACTTTTACACAGCTCAAGTAAGAATTAAATATAAAACTAAAAAGAAAAGAAAAAAATGTGTATAACATATATTTTCGTATTTTTTTCATTTATAGGTAAACTCTGTGATACGAACTGCAGATAAATCAGTTTCTGCAGAAATAACGATTTTAGCGAATGTCACCGATAACCAAGCACAATACCGTTGTGAGGCATCTAATAGTGCTACCGAGATTCCACTTTTCGAAAGTACTGTTCTAAGTGTACACTGTAAGTTTTAACAATTTACATACATATATTGGTTGCAGTGACTTAAATGATTAAAAAGGATATAATAGAAATAATGTGTTTTCTTCCTTACCAATAAACTTTGTTAGTTCACAGAATTTTGAGTTATTAACTACGTGTAAAATATTAAACGAGTATGCTTCGAATTGCTATTAGCAGTTTTTTGATAATTATATTATCTGGCCCACGCCATACGTAATTACATACGTGTACATAAGTTAGAAAAGCTATATGTATTTTCCTACTATCATAAATAGGAAGTGAAAATATTTTTCATCTGCCTCATCTGTAGATGTTCAAATAGCTCAAATTTCTATAAACATTTTTAAATAGTATACATATATTAATTTAATTTTTTTCTATACAATATTTAGTTGCACCAGAAACAGTTAAAATTCGTGTTGAACCAGATGTTCTGAAGCCGGGCATAGAGGTGACTGTTATTTGCGATTCCAGTTCGAGCAATCCACCTGCAAAACTCACTTGGTGGAAGGACGGTATTCCTATTGATGGTAAATTTATTAAATATTTTATACTGCAAAAAAAAATCTAGGAAAAAAACCGAGCTTCATACGGTTTTGCTTTCAGTAGAAACTTTTGAGGTATAGTTTACGACAAAAAATGAGGTATAAGATAAATCAATTTGGGTATGCATACATGCATACAAACATTTATCAAAAGTTTACTAGACTTTTTCCGCTATCTGAAATATAGAAAAAAAAATATATTTTTTAATTTTTTAAGGCATAAATAACTCATCCAAGCCAGGATTATGGGGAGGAACAGTTTCTACGCTGGAATTCAAGGTCAACATCACACAAGAAATGAATGGTGTAGTATACACTTGTCAGAGTGCGAACGAAGCTTTACAGCGTAGTGTGCACGAAGCAGTTAGCTTAAACGTGCTTTGTATGTATTGCAATAGCCATTAAATCAACTTAAGATTTTGACTATACTTTTTCTTTCAATATGATAATAGATCCGCCAGTTTTTGTCCCACCTCCATCATCCACTGCTGTTGGTGTTGAAGGAGAGTCCTTACAAGTCTCTCTTAGTGCTACAGGAAACCCAATGGTAATCGTATATAGCTGGACGAAGGATGGGTTACCAGTTCCGTCAACATCGACCAGTCATGGAGGAGCAGAGCATCGTATATATGCCGATGGCGCTAATTTAAATTTTACAAAACTGAATCGAAATGATGCCGGCATATATGTTTGTGAAGCCAGCAATTCCGAAGGCTCAGCAAAGCTTAACTTTACAATTGTTGTAGAATGTAAGTACATATATATATATACAAAAGGTTTTTATCTTGCATCAATCATTTAATAAGAAAATAGCAAAAGGTATCGCATTCTATCAGAAAATTCTATTATGATTTACGAGATGATTACAAAATTATGTTCTTTATCATCAATTATCAACATTTCGCAACATGCATTTTGTAAGGGCAAACCCATTTTACTATACCTACTAGAATGCACCTTTAATGCTAGTAATAGTTTGTCATCAGAATGATGTTATTTACACTGACTACAACAAAGAGTATTTTTAGTTGTGTACTCCAAGTGAAGTATCCCTATAGTATAGAAGACTTCTTATATTCATCAATAACCTTCCAAATGTGGTTATTAATTCCAAATCTAATATGATACATACCCACAATAGTTCTGTTCGCGGCTTAGTCATGATTTTTACTAAACTTTACTGAATCGTGTTCAGTGAAAATGGTAACGAGAGAGCGCAATTTTGACGTTTAGTTGGGAGAGAAAGTTGCAAATTTGTGCTGGGAAAATTTGACTCAGTAAAAAAGTGGAAGTATGAAAAACAGCTGAAATTGATTTAAAATCAAACTAATAATAACAGATTAAAATATTATGTTAGTCGTGTTGAAAAAGGAGAATAATGCTCTGTACAACTTGGTGGCAAATTTTTATTAAATCCTGTTCGGTGAAACCTCAGTAAATTTCTTTCTTTGGGACTAATTACAAACTAATTTTTACTAACATTTCTCAACGGACGCAGCTAATGTTGAACATGTTGTTGAATTCATTATTTTAGAAATCACATATGTTAATCATATATGTAAATTCTTGGACTAATCATGCAAAACGAGTTTTAGCGTTTTTAAACGATGGCCTAAGGAGTTTGGCGGCCACGATGGCCTAGTGGTTCGAATTGAGTACTGCACTTCGGAAGTCATTATAGAGAAATAATTAAAACAAAAAAATAAGTTAATTTTTCTGTTTGCGGTCGCCCCACGATTCCCTGTCGTGTCGAGCACTCCGAGTGTATTTATGCCAGGAGGCGGCTTAGTATGAACTGTAGGAACCTCCATATTTTGGATATACTTTAAATTGCTTCAGCTGTTATAAATTGCCAATTATGTATGCATATATATATGGTGTTCAATTATGTGGGTAAGAATCTCTCTCCACAGAAAAGCTGATTTTTTTTATTAATCGCTAGACCACTGTCTACGCTTCATAGTCTTAGTGAGATGATCGCGGTTATATTTATAAACTAAGTCGTTATCAGAGGTGGGCAACACTTATCTCTTTATCAACACATTTCACTTTTCTATATCAAAACACATTTGATTTCTTAATTTCAATGTAGTTTACAGTTGCTAGTGAGGAATTCCTATATCTCTATCAGCCTCGAAAAAATACATTTGTTCACTGCACTGCTAATTTGATTATGTTCACCTTATATGAAGCAAGCCCCTAATGTGAGTTAATATGAATTTTTTATTTGTTTTTCTTAATATGGCAAAAAACTTGTCTGAACCTTGTTTTACTCTCTGAAAGAAAGAATTTTACTGAGTTTTCAACGAACAGAATCCAGTAAAAATTAGCGAGCTGGTTGTATAACAGCTGTTTCTTTTGGCAGTTAAGTTTGAATCCGTTCATTTGTGGAATTTTTTTTTCCTGCTTTGAATCATTTTCCTGAGTGCTGTAATAAAATTGGCAATTATATAGCACATTTGGTTCATTAATTGTATTTCAACAGTGATGAAATTCTAAATGCTTTATAACCGTCCATCAATAAAGATATCGATATGTTTTTTTTAGTAGTCCACTAAAAGGAAGAGGACTGATTTAGAATTTGTTTTGCAACAATTTGTCATATTAACTCAACATTATTATTGAGTTATTCGATTCTGTTCAAATCAAAATAAAAAACAAGAGCTAAATTTTTCATTTTAAACACGGAAGATTAAGAATGCATTATCCTCATTGTGGCTGTAGCAACAACCTTGATTCGAATTTGTTATGCGGCCCCTTTGGTCGCCACTGCTGAAATCCAAAATCAACCGTTGTACTAGAAATTATAACATATTCTATTTCTATGCGTTCCCAACTTCTAATTTCTCAACTGAAGCTCCACTCTCCTCTCACCACATTTTCGTTTAACGAGTGCCTTTAATATTGTTGAAATCATTGGTATTGTTCAGTTAAATTAAACAATATTAAATTTAACCCCTTATTTTGTGGGCATATAAATCATATTAAAGAATTAAAATTATTTAAATTTTAAATCAAGGTTGTTTGCGCTCCAATTTTTACCGGCTCAACGAACACGATCCAGTAAAGTTTAATAATAGCCTTACTTGCTCTGGCATGTGTATATGTATACGCAAATAATCTTATTCAACCTTTTTTCAGATGGCACTACTATAAAAGCTATATCGGAAAATGTTGTAGTGAATCCTGGTGAAGATGCGATGCTATCCTGTACAGTGGAGGGAAAACCTTTAACTGAAGAGCACATTAAATGGGAGCGAGTTGCATACGACATGAAAGCAAAAACTACAACATCTTTTGTCAATGGATCTTCCTATCTTCATATAAAAGACGCACGTCGTGAAGATGTTGGTAACTTTCGTTGCATTGCTGACAATCGTGTTGCAAACCCCACAAATCGGGATGTTCTTTTAATTGTCAAATGTAGGTGGTGCAAAATTTTATTATTAAATAATTGATTATAAAAAAATGTTTCTGTTATGAAATTTTTCATAACCTTAGTTGCACCTGAAATTGATAAGTCACCAACGTTGAAGCGGGCGGCGAGCGGAACTGGAGAACAAGGACGTCTACCATGTCGTGCGCAAGCTGCACCAAAGCCGAAATTTGTTTGGCGTCAAGAAGGCAAGGATCTTCAAGTGAATCGCACATATAAATATGAAGTTGAGGAAAAGAAAATTGACTCTCTCACATATGAGTCGACGTTGATAATTGAAAAAGTTGCACCGGCTGATTATGGGGCATATGAGTGTGTAGCAACGAATGAGTTGGGTCAAACCACTGAATCCATTCGGTTAGATATCACCTCTCAACCAGATATGCCGCTTAGTTTGAATATATTAAATATGACACACGACAGTGTTTCATTGGCATGGACACCTGGTTTTGACGGAGGACTTAAGGCTTCTTATAGAGTACGATACAGGTAAAGTGTTATAAATTGTAGTCAGTTACCAACTACGTGCTCTACAATTCTTCCAAATGGTTGAAAATTGTACATTTTTCAATTAATATTATATGTATTTCTACTTTTTTTTACTATGATTACAGAGAGGCCAACCGTGAACAATATAAATATGTAGACAGTTTGCCTAACAGTCATAAGTTGACAATAAATGGATTAAAGGCTAATACATTGTACCTATTCTCTGTGATGGCATACAACGATTTGGGAAACAGTAAATATCTACCCGATTTACAAAGGGCCCAAACGAAAGGTGAATACATAGATATTGCTATTATTATATTAACATTTGCATTTGTAACACTGATGTCCTGTACCATAAACACTTACAGATACGAGCCCTAGTAAGTCATAAAAGAAAAAAATAGACGGCGCATTTACTTTTTTTCTAGATTGTTTTTATTAGAGCTCTAGATGCTTAATTAGCTAATACGAGTGGCTCGGTACTCTCAAGCTAAAGTGTCAATTTCAACAATTTGGACAGTAGAAAAATTTCCATTTCATTTTATTAGTTAGAATTGTTTATTGCTTCGCTAATTTTTTCACTTTTCAAATATAAATTTAACAAAGAATAAACTCAAAACATATATTTTTTTTTCGAAATATTTATGACTATCGAGCAAGTGTGCATGTCCTCGTTACCCAAATGCTAGAGCTGCTCAAAAATGTTCTAATAAAATATGGAACTCTGATTTTAAAGAACAATTTAAAAATCTATAATTTCTTCTGTTATTGTATGAATTTGATTTGTAATATGCACTCTAAAGCTCAATTTATCAGAATATCGAAGCTCAATATAAGTTAAAAGTTCTACTGAAATAACGAATAACAAGCCCGTAGTAAATAGTGATTTTAAAAGATAGCTTCTTACCAAGTTTACATTTTTTCATTATTGCTGCTTTTGGATCTTTTCTACGCTCATGATTACCATTTTTAACAAAAACTATGAACTATAATGAAATAGAAGCTCCGCCACCATCACAACCAGCTTCGTCTTTGGGTGGTCCACCGACGACAACTTCTACTCCACTTGGTGGTACATCCGGCTTACTTCTGCTAGTAGGTGTTGTTTCCGGGGTAACCGTGGTGTTACTAAATGTCTTCATCATCGGATGTTGCCTACATAAACGTAACCAAAAAAGGCTTAAACGAGGTATATTGACAATAACAATAAAGCATTTCTGAACTTATAAAAATAGTATCATACATATTTTCAAAATAGAAGATTGATTAAAAATGCAATGTAATAGTTGTTCGAATGAGTTAAACTTTAGTTATTATTTTTAATTATTTTGGTTTGAAATGGCTAAAGCAGGGAGAAAGTAGTATAATATGTGCATATTATGTATTTATTTTTTATTTTCTCCGGAAGATTTCTTTCTCAGTTTTAATAATGTTTGGAAAATGTTGAGTGGTTTTGTTAAAAAGTTTTTTTTTTTTAATTTTAGCTCATAGATTTCGATTAATCCAAAACCGTAATAAGTTATGTGTGACTTTTTCGGTTTATTTTCGTAGCTAATACTTATCATTTATATAAATTATATCTTTGAGCTCAAAAAATCAAAGGAATAGGCGAAATGCAGCTTCCGTGTATACAAATCGCCCCAAACGCTGGGACATGCAAAATTGTTTCTCCTTTCTTAAACTCCTCGTAAATGCGTCATCTCCGACTAGACTAGACCGTACCTGACTAACAATTTTATTCTTAAACTTTTTTGGTTTTTTATTTTTAATCACATATTATTCTTTTCATGTTATGCATGTACTCATGCATACGTGAAATTTCTTATTTTCTTGTGTTGAATTTTGGTTGCTTTTAAAATCTTGCGCTGTGAAAAGGAATGGAAATATCAACGGGAGAATTAATTGAAGATTCGAGTACTCCTAGTCTTGTTATAATGGGAATATCAATGGCAGCTTTTGGATTTCTTGTGGTAAATGCGGCGTTAGTCGCTTGGTTCTTTGTTCATAATCGACGTAAGAAAGGTGTGTTTTAGTTTAATATTTTTAATTTTATCTTTATTATTAATTTTATTAATTTTTGTTGTACGGTTCGGGAATTCATTCTCCGCATTGATGGACTTTTGACAATATAACTTATCGCAACTAAGATATATTTTCCCAATATAAATTCTATTATCCCAGTTTCGTTGGCTTTGCGTCATTTAATCTAACTTTAGAAATCTGAACAAACATTTGAATTTTGAAATGAAAAGTGTATCTTCAGTGTAATTTGTGTGGTTTGTAAAATTCCTAACGGTTTTCACTGCTTTTCCTTATCATTCAAATGAACTTGGCCAAGACAACAATGACATTTATTATTTTGCTCAAACTGAATTTGACATGTTAATTAATTTGAGTGGAAAATTTAGCCACATTTTCAAATATCTTTTATATGTATCTTGTGTTTAAATGTATATTTAATAACCGAAATTTTTTGCAAAAATGTTTTAAAGTAGAATACATATTGTGTGTCGAGCGGTATAAGATTGAAGCTGCCTTATTTAATGATATAAAAAAAATAATATCCAATACATCAAAATATTTTTATTACTCATAGTTTTTGAAATATATAATTGAACTAAAACATCCATTTTTTGTACGAGCAGCCGAAAACGATAACCAACCTGGCAAAACCGCAACGATTGAAATGTATGCGCCGAGTTCCTACAATGATACTGTTACTGGAGAGACTTTATCTAGCGTTTCAGAGAAGAGTGAGTCTTATTCCAACGATGGCAGTCAAGCAGAATACACGGTCAGTATTAATTAGATAAAAGAATTAAAACATTAACTTCTCAGTAAAATCGGTAATTGATGAATACTTTTTTTTCATCTTAAGTAAATGTTCTAAATGAAAATAAAAAATTGTTAACAAAAAATTCACGATAAAATTAAACGATAGCAAAATTTCTTTACTTATATTATTCGTAAATTTTCGATTTTCATATACATGTATATATTTATTCACTTGCAGGATGAAGCCCGAAAGAAGGCAGTTTCTACTTATTTAGTGGAAAGTAATGACATGCCGCCTCCACGTTATCAGAAGGATGGCACCATGCCAATTGTATATCCAAGCAACATAGGTAAATATTCTAGGTATATTTGTGATTGAAAAAACATATGTACGGATTTGATAGTACGAAAAACAATAAGACGGCAAAATGGATTTGTTCCATTTTCAATTACATTTTAACGACATTACGTTATGAAATAAATACTGCCAGGTAGATTTCATATATTTTTTGATTTATTTATTAGTTGGAAAATTCAACTAATCCAATTAAGATACGCGGAAGTAAATTCAATACTTTAAAACACATATTTCGCACTTCAAACACTAACTCTAAATATAAGTAACTCTAAATATAGAAATAGCTCTAGAGAATAAGAAAAACGCTAGTATGCATAGGGACACCTCGAGGGGTATATTGTCATCACCGCTCTAAACACCGTAGCAACTGACCCTTTGAAAAAATGTGAAGTAGAGGTAAATACTGACAAAATGGTTAGGATACTCTTTATACGTAAATGAGCAGTGGCAGTAAGTTGATCTGATAGCTCAATGTGAAAAAGAGGGTGAAGAAAAGCCAGCAGTGCCCTCTACGCATGCAAGGAGGGAGGTGCTAGGTTCTATTTGGGGCTATAATATGATCTCAGGCATTGGTGTTACACATGGGTGGTCAACTCAATATTTCTTTAAAGTGGTTTGGAGCACATACAACTTAACATTGCGAAGAAATCCACGATAAGATTTGCTTAATTTGGTTCACATTCATTCGGGTATAGTTCGATAAGGAAGGGAAAGATGGACAAAATAGATCATACAATACACGTCTTATCTGGAAAACACTGGGTTCCAGCCCACAAATATATTGTAAAAAAATTGTTCATGAGATATCTCAAAGTGTCGCTAGTCTGACTACCGAACCAATTTAGAAAATATGAAATTTGTTAACAAAGCTGAACATCGAAATTTGCGAGAAATCTGGAAAACAGATCAGGGTAAGTTCAAATACCCACGGCATTCAAGACTACCAATATCAAGTACAATAAAGGAAAACACACTTAATTTTTGTTCATGTGGTCTCAAAAGAACTGCAGCACGGCTGTTGGCTTAGTGGCTGGACAGGACCTTCTCTCACGGTACGGCATTTGTGAGATCTTGGGGCGTTGTAATACCTCCTCTGTTTCTGTCCCGCTTTATCTAGTACTTCTATAAGATATTTCAGGGTTTGGAAACTCAAATGTCTACTTGATATATCAAGGCTCTCTTAAACTTCGCAAAAGGCAAATATTACAAAAAAGGGGATTTGTGATCATATGATTGAATTTTTGTCAAAAAAACAAAACTGATTTTAAATTAAAATAATTTGATTCTTTAATATGAATAATATGCCAACGAAATAAGGGGACTGAACAATATCAATGATTCCAACAATAGTAAAGGCAGTCTTTAAACGAAAATGTGGCGGCAGTGGCGGGAAACACGAAAATTTTTTTTTTATATTTTTTTCTTTTTATGCAGTGAAAATTTTAAAAATGTGCGCTTCGTCTGTATTAAACTATATCTTTGCATTTCTTTATTTTAGTTAATGCACGAACATTACCCCATCCACGGCACCATAATGTCACAAACATATTGGATCACCGCGCACACGATGACCAAATTCTCATTAACAAAGGAGTATATATTCCGTCCCCTTCGCCTGCGCCGCCACCTGATGGTTCATATTATAACATGAATAGCGACCGATATCTTTCCTACCCGCCCATGGTGAGTCTATATATACAATATTTTTAGAAAGTAATTTGAATGCTTAATTTAATTTTGTTTATTAACAAGGATATTAATCATTATATTAAATGAACAGATAGATCACATGGTAAAATAGACAAACTATTATTGAGAAATATACAATATTTAATTATGATTCATCCTTAATGTACTCACAATGAAGTCTGCTATTTTAAAAATATTCATGAATGTAGCAAAGTATTGAATGTAAAAAGAAAATATCACACAAATATTTGATTGAGTGCGAATTATTCAGCTTTAGTGAGCACAGTTGTTCATTTTTCTTATACCAATAAACAGATTTCTACTGTGTTAATCAATGAACGTAATTAATTTTATTGCGTTTTTCAAATACTATCTTTATATTCTTCATATTCTTCATACAATTCACATAATTTTGATTATTGTTATTATTGACGTTACAGGACTATCCTCCTCAATTGGATTTTGCCACGCCCCCATTACCAATGGCACACCTTCAACCAATATCGCAAGCTTCTATAATAAGCGGTAACGCCATGCTTGGTTCTGTTGGCAGCGGTAGTGGTACATTGCGTCGTGGTATTATGCGTGGAGTTGTTGGCATGCCACCTCCTGATGTAACCCAATTAACTAATACCAGCATGACCGGTAATAGTAACATCCAAATGCTACACGAGCTGCATCCAATAAATATATCGAATAACTCGTGCTCCACACAAACTACAAGTATAACAGGAAACGGTAGCATGATGTCAACGATTCCGAGCACCACCTCTAAACAACCTCAAAGCATTCTTAAGGATCCAAATAGATCTAAACCGCAACAGCAACTATTGAGTGCTAACCTCGTTGGTGTGGGTGTGCCCACTGCTTCTGGTAGTCTTCAGATACTCAACATACCCACATCGGCAGGTATCAGTGGAAATCTACTGATGACCACAAGTGCAGCGTATGACCCGACAAATCTTAGCACTTTTAACGCTGCCAGCGGCACAGCATTGGCTTACACAGACGCTGATGGGCATTTAGTATAGCTGTAGGAAAGCACGGGATTACCGATGGAAGCTGCGTTAGCTGCATTTGAAGCCTCTTCGGCTCCCGCTGCTGCCAGCTCAAATAGTCTACGCTACTGACAAACATATAATACTCGTACAATTGCACAGATCAAAGTGAGAAAATAGTGCAGCAAATAGAATAATTAGGCAAGAGAAAAAGAAACTGAGTTTACGATTAAGATTAGTACTAAGTTACAATTTAATTATTACAATAATATTAGACTAAATTAGTACTTAACAACGTAAAAGACCTGATGCTAATATGGTTGCATTAAAATTGTAGAGCATATGACAAGTGCTCAACTATGATCATTGTGCAAGCCCAAATTCATTTCGAAACCAAAGAAAAATTTTTCTGTAATTAAAAAAACTATGATAAAAGTTGTATAAATTTTTTTTTTGTTACTTTAAATTTAGAAATTGATACAAAAAAATCTATTAAATAAAACAAAAAGGCTGACATTTCTAATGAAAACTGCTATGGCTTAACAGGGCTTCGGGGAATCAAGTCTTGAAAACTATTGTGCAATGAGATCTTCGTGGACTAAATAATACAAATCACATGTAAAACACAATATTCATAAAAAGCAACATTTAATATTCGATTACTGATTATAAAAAATTAACTACTGCTGTTACTATATTTATTCTCGAAAATTAATTTCTTTAACTTACGGAATCATTAATTCTCAATGATGCAGCATTTAGAAAATCAGAAATTTATTTGTCGTGATATTGCGTTTAAATTTATGAAACAAATTCAAATATTCAAACGCAACACTTAACCGTTTTAAGTTGAAGTTGACGTGTTTTGAAATTTTCAACAGCCCAGTTTAAGTTCAAAGAATATTTCGAGGTAGTGAGTTATCGAATAATATAATTGCTAAAAGAACATAAGCAATAAACTTTACTTTTGTTTTCTAAAACAATTTCGTGAATATCAAAGCTCATATTCAAATTGAATCGCTACATTTTAAATATTAGTCATCAAAAATAACTTCTTTACATTAATTTAAGTTGTCGACCACTTTTTCGACAAGCAATTTTTGTTGTAAATAAAAAAGCGGTGAGCTCCTTATAGCTTTAAGAACATGAAAAAAAATACAATTTCACCCATACTCTATAACCGGTTGCAACATGCAAATATGTATATATTTATATTCGTTTAACTGATATTTAGAAAAAAAGAGCGCAGGATATGCTTCAATTTTATACTTACATACATACTTCATTTTATGCTTCAAAATCACGAAGTCAGACATGTAAATAAAACAAAAGAAAAAACTTTTTCAAAAGCCTTTACGCCATTTAAACAGCGATTCAAACGCACATAAAACAGTTTAGTTTACATTAGAATGGTGGCTTTCTCTCATGTATGTATTGTATGTACTACACGTACGTGCACAAACCCACACACACATTTGTAATAATGCATTTATACATTTATTCGGTTGAAGTAATCCTAAGAGAAGGGCAAATTAAAGCAGTCAACTGGTTGGAAAGTGTTTACATGAAAATCAAGTTAACACACAGGTTGCATTGACGCACCCACATCCATACATATGTATTATATTGTATATGCAAATATATGTTACATATAAATACATATGTAAATCATTCCACTTCTTGTTAAAGCGCAGTGTCTAAGAGGTCACAATGTAGATTAAATACATATTTCAAAAATAGTAAAAATTTGCACTTCATTTTTGGACCCTTGCACATACCATACATCACTAAAATAATGGTAATAAGTATGCACAGTACACAGCAGCAAACATCAAAGCAGTTTATAAAAATCCTCAAATCTCATTTTCTGTGTTTACAATTACTTTTTTACTTATTTAACGTTGACAAATGATTGTGCCGAGACCCCGGTAAAATGTTACACACAAGGAATTTTCTTTGAAAATGAAACTGCTCCTCGTATTTATCATTCGCGGGAAAATAAATTACGAAGAAACACCTTTAGCAACACTTAACCGAAACTAAATTAAACTAAAATAAAGTTAAATTGTTACAAATTTTACTAAAACAAGTGAAAGATGGTATTTGGAGATTAATTTAAAAACTGAATAAATTTGCATAAAAGAATCCATGAAATTTAAAAGAAATTGGCAGTCCTAAGATCAAATTAAAAATATTAAAAAAAAACGTAAGGAAATTTTTGTTTTTGTATTTCGAACGCTTACAGAAAAAGACAATAATTCGATCCAGATCCAGATCTTTTTAAACTACAAGTATGTTGCACAAATCTAATGCTTAAAATTTTCAATGCTTTTGTGTTAAACTTGACTTTGTGAGAATTCAATTTGCTTGGTAATGTTTTTTTCATCTTACATCCATTTTACGCAATTACAATTAGCTGGAAATCGCTTTGAGTGTTCAAATAATTACATATCCGTATATAAAACAAAAGAGTGGAAAGCCAGAAGAAAATGTGAATCTTTGGTTTGATAGAAAATCAATTTGCCAAATTTAGACAATAATAATATGACATTTTAAACAGTTCTTGCCAGCATACATAGGTATGTACGTGCAGCCTAATTTTCACAACTAAGAATTGCGAATATGTTCGGCGATTTCGACGTGTACGTGTTTGAAAGTCTTACAGCAAAATATTAAGAAGTTAGCCAATCATGATGAACATTAGTTGAGCACTTGTTTAACACATATGTACACAACATTAACAATATACAAATCTGTTTACTTCAAGCATGGAGGAAGTGAAAATTTGCCAAAAGCTGACTGATGTTTTGACATATTTTGTCTCATTGACCAAACAAAATAATGTTGAGTAAACACTAAAATATGAAAACATGTACATATATAAATAATAACTACAGATGCTGTATAATTTTTGTATGGCTAATATAATATATAATATATATAATATATATATAGAAATAAATTTTGATGATTAAATTGTGTAACGAAAATAAATTGGCAAAAACAAAACAAACAAAAAAGAAAAAAAAAATCAAGAGAGAATGAACCATGTTAATTAATAATTAAGACATTAACATATTAAGAATCCGTTCAATTCATATTTTTATTCAAACTCATGACGTATATTGAAAACAAAAAAGCTGCATTTATAATATAATTAACATCATAACAATAAGTTACCCTGAATGAGTGAATGTGACGTTTGAAAAATATAATATCAAACTCATTAAACACCTATATATGTATATGTATATTATTCCATATAAAGGTGGCACAAATATTTCGGGCTGCACCACGCGGCTATTCGTTATTTATGAAATTTTTACGACCGTGAATTTCCCCACTATGTTATTGCATTTAAAATATATGTATGTACAAGAGTATATGTATTTTTTGTAAATCGTCGCGAAATGTCACAAAAGACATTACGGTCACAGCGAAATATTACAATTTACATACACATACCAATACAAATAAAACCATTTAGCGTTCAAGCTAAACTGAAGGTAAAGGCTATAAAGGAGTCAATTTGTAAATAAGTCTGGACTGAAACCTCTTCATTTACATACGTGCATGTATTACTCCGTTACAAAAATGCTCAAAACTCACAGAAATAAGTTTATAAATGATTCAAAAATTTTAAAACTGCATTCGAATTAGACTAAGTTTTTCGAACTCTAATTAGTTCCGATTGATTCAGATAAAATATAAAAATTTGAAATTTTTTACTTATATTTTTTACCAATAAAAATTAGTATTAAACCTATGTAAGCATATGTATGTATATTAGAATAATTTCGTAACTACGAACCTTTAATTAATTACTGTATAATATATGTATGTATGTGCAAACATATGTACATATGTATACATATCAGGCTATGCTCTACAATATCTACTGTTTCAAACATTTGATTTGTGACTGTTTTTAAGATGTCAAACTGGGCAGCAGAGTTAAGTTACGAATTTAATGGAAGACAATTGCAAAAAACCCACAAAGTCTAGTCTAAAATGAATGTAGTTAATGACATCACCACTTTTTACAATTTGAATAAATTGCGTAGTGTAAACATCATTTAGCTGCTAAAAGGGCTGCAGTCGCATTTAACACAAATGTCTGTACAATAGATAAGTAGAAGAATGAAGAGATTAGGTCGGACGAGCCAGCTTGGATAGTTCGATGCTCGCTGAACTATTATAAAGTATGATTAAAAAAACAGCAATGTTATTAAATCTTTTTCACACATGTGTTTTTAAACATTGCCATAGTTGTAAGATAGGATAATACAAGTATTGTAAAAGGTATCGGTAATCGTTGCTTATGTCTTCCCGTCTAAATTACCAAACAGCAGACGTAAACTCATTCATTAAGAAATCATGGAAAAGTTTTTATAGTAATAATTGTAATTAAAATAAAAAAAAAAACATAACAATGATTAAATCAATATAAAGTTTTGCGATTAAATTTTTGTTAAATACATCATGTTCTTACTGAAAAAAACTATACATATACAGCAATACATTAATACAGTACATGCATACATACCTACAAACACATACAAATATAAACATAAGCTCTAAGTTTCCGTATGTTAAATGTGGAAAGCATTTATATATGTATGGTTATGTTAATTTCAAACCTTAGCAAAAACTATAAATTTGTGTTGGATTAAACAATGTTTTATTTTACATATACGTATGTATGTATATGTTGAAAAATTTTAATACTAATTTCTCTTTCACCAATTCATCAAACGTTTCGAAATAAAACTAAATATAATTTGGAATTTTACCAAGATCTGTTGACGATGATAAACCAATAATTAATTAATCCTTCAACTAACAGTCGGTACCCATATACACTTGTGTGAGCTGTTATAAATGAAAGTGATGCAAGTAATTTTGCAGTTGGTGGTTTGTAAAATGAACTCCCATCAGAACGTATTCGATCAGTTAGTGAAATAAAATAAGCAAATAAATTTAATAAATTCATTACGTCAATGAAATATAAAATATGTAATATTAACCCTTTTAGATGCACTCAAAGTACATGGCAAAGGTGTTAAAAACCCAGTTTGTTTTAAATATAGCATATATTCTTTTTTGTTTTAATTATAATTAAAAAAATGGAATTTTTAAAAGTGTAAGACCTTGGCTTCCGAAACCTTTATTTGCCTCGATGTATGTTACTTAAGGAGAAATACTATAAGCATCTGTTTCATTTATATCAGTTCATATAATGAAGTTTAAATTACCAATCCAATTAAATATTTTGGAGAATGTGCACTATTTAGACACACACTTACAGCTTTCATTATTTTTACTCCATCTGGAAAGTAACGAGAGAGCACAATGTAAAAAGCAAGATTTCCTTATTTTTTTCAAAATTAACTTCATCTCTATTTGGTGTCCTGTATAGTCTCTTAGTAAAAGATAAATTAAATTTAATTAAATAAAAGACTAATGACATTATTTAAAATATGTATCACATAATGTAGTTTGTACTTGTATATGTTTATATTTTGCTTGTATAAATATTTTAACTATTAAATTACATCCTAGTGCTAAGCGACAGTTTTCTTATATTGATACTCATAAAGTAGTAATCAAAGGTATTTAATACATACATACATACATACAATACATAATTATTCAAACCTCTGAGCAGACAATTTGTGGCCAAATTTTAAAAAAAAGTTTTTAAACCCAACGGCGATTGCAATAAAATATTGCGGATGAACTACTACTATGACAGCTGCATTTCAAAACGCTAAAAAGCACTCGTACACGCCATGTACGTATTAGCTAGAATGTAAAACAATTAAAGCGTTTAAATTATAATCGAAACAATTGTACATTTACCTACTTTACAATTGCATCATATGTAAATTACGTAGAGCCAATGTTTTTTAAAAACTGTAAAGCTACATTGCGCTCGAAGCGCGTCCACGCCTTTTAGCTGACGGTAGTGGCATCCAATAATTTTATTTAATAGAATAACGTACGCGCAAATACACGATACGTTCTGTACGAAAAACATGAAAAACATATACTATAGATTTACCTAACCTAATGTTATAAATTTCCAGTTTAGTTAAGACATTTACTTACATACATACATACATACATACATTTGTAAAGCGTTTATCTCCTTCAATCCTATTATCCACTAGAGGAAAAGTTAATGATTATATTGAAAACAATATAAAGTTAAACAAAAATCTCAAGAATAATATAAAACAATGAGCTAAAGAACGAATTAATCATAAGTAATATACATATAAAGATTTTTATTATTAAAATTGCCAAAGAGTTTTTAAAAAAGTTTCTTAGGTAATTGTATATTCGCAATTTAAAATATTACATAAAAAATTTTACTAAGGACTTATGTTTCATGAAAATTATTAAAAAAAAAAAACATAAAAGTTATAAATAAGAGTGCATACCAATGTAAGTAAGAGTAAAAAATAAAAACATTATTAGTGCATATGTGTACGAAAACCATTCTTATCATTATGTATGGAAATGTGCTATAGTTTTTAAATAAAATTATATAAATTCAGAATAATAATCTATGTGGTTTTATTATTATAATTATTAATTATTGTAAAATGCAAGTGCTACTTTTATTGTTGTAAAAACATGAAATTATTACTTTTGAATAAATGCCAAATTCTTAAATTCCCAATTTTTTTTAACTATTTGCATTTATTAGTATAGAAGTACTATGGATCACTTGACCTTAGCCTGAAATTTACATAAATACCAGAAGTCGTGTCCACACATTGGTGTTTTATTCATTCATGCTTCTTTTAGATTTTTGGTCAAGTGTTCTTCTTCTGTTTTATTTAATCGGCAGTACGGCGTGTGAATACACTATGGCTACCCTTATTTGTTTAGTTATATGTATGCTAATTAGAGTACAATCATCACCGACAGAGTTATCATTTTCATTTTGAGAACCACAAGATATTGGATGAGTGCATAAGTTCGTGCCCGATTCCGCTGAATACCGTTCGAATTGTTTGAGAGTGGCGCTCGTGAAAGAAATATATAAANGTAAATTGGTTGAACGTTGGGAGTGGATTGCCGAACATGATGGCGAATACATAATTGATTAATAAAAGCGCTTTCTTCAAAAAATTTCAATTTTATTTTGCACTTGAAATCGGGCACGAACTTATGCACTCAGCAACAAAAAGGTTCCTTGCTCAAATACGACAAGATGGTCTACGTGTGCAGAAATGCAAAAAAATACTTATCAAAACTATACAATCACCCGAACCCTTTGAAGAGAAGGGACTTACTAGCCCTGTAAAGAGCAACACTGAGCCAGAAGTCCATTCCTAGCCAATGGGCTATTATATTTTAAGTTAGTTTTTAAGATTTGTAAGCAGATTCAGTAAATAAATACAAATGTTTAAAAAAAAAATTATGAGCAAAACTACCTTCCTAAAATAGTTTTTTTGAAAAGTTGTCCAAGCCTTTTCGATATTAGCTCGCCGTTTAGACAACCTGCCGATAATGGATGCTAAATTTTATTTCAGTAAGAAATATGATCACATTTTGGAAAACCTTAAGACAACTTTTCTGTCTATTCCGGTACTACCAATATAAATTAAGACCAGAAAGTTTCCGAAAATTGTCAAGTAAACTGCCCGCGCTGGCTATTTTTCAGCACTTTTGTTGACCCACAATTCTGGCCGTTTACGACTGATGTCTTAAATTATCAGTTATCAAATTATTATCTTTGTTGGCCAAACCGCGAATTTCTAAAAAAAAGATTTCCCGAAACTTTCTGGTCTTAATGTATATTCAAAATAGAGAGCAGACACTTGCCCAGGCAAAATGATAAATTGATAGAGTAATCGAAGTTGATTGGCATTTTAGTAAAATTTATTTTATATTTACGCATTGATTGGATGAAAGATATAAACAAAATCCAGTTTGCTTTGATTCAGTAACAGAACAATTTAAATAACTCTAAGCCAAGCGCTTATGAAATAATGCTGCAACTGCCATCTTACATAACGCACAGCCATAACACCATACTGTAATAGAATATACGGTTTTGGCAAGTGGTGACAACTTTTCATTTACTTGAGGCTCTCATTAGATACGAGGTGTGACAAATAAGTAATGATACTGATTATATTGCCACGAATGTGGTAACCCTTCTCCCGGCATTTTTTTTTCCTTTCCATTAATATATTTACTCGTCACGAAAATGGAAAAACGAAATCAAGAGCAACGCGCCGCGATAAAAATTTGCGCCAAATTGGGCGAAACAGCATTGGAAACGTACGCTAAAATGTAAGAATGTATGGTGATAGTGCTCTTAGTCGTGCCTAGGTGTTTCGATGGCACATCGAGTTTAAGGGGGGGCCTGAAGGCGTGGAAGACGAGGCGTGGAACGGGAGACCAGTTGATAGCCGTGGAATCGTAAACAAAGAATTTTTTCCAAAGGGGCAAATCGTAAAGCAAGACTACCATAGCCAAGTACTGGAAAGATTGCGAAAACGCGTCAACAGAGTGCGCCCAGACATCGCTCGTTATTGGATCTTTCAGAGTTTTAGATATATAAGTGGGTATCGACGAGTTCGAGATTCATTCATCAACATTTATTTAGTATTTAAAACATTTTTACACTTTACATAAATAAATTTGAAATTATAGAAAACGGAAATTTTTTTTTTTCAAAATGCTGGAATCGTTAAATTCCTTTGTAGTTAAAATCTCAAAAAGTAATATCATATTAAGAATATGTATTTTCTTATAAAAATTTACATGAATGCCGTAGAAAAAATAAGTATACTTAAAAAATTGTGCAGCAGTCGAGAGCGAATTCAATGTACCAGCAGTACCAATTTTGTCAAGATATCATCTTTTGGTGTCGATGACGTCAACCGTATACCACCCTATTGTAGTTGAAATCATTATCTCGGTATACAAGTAGATAGAAGACTCACCTAAAAAATACATATAGAGGCTAAAATATTGCATATGAAATTAAAAGTAGCTACCATATATTGACTCTTTCGTGAAAACTCTGGTCTAAAGCTACATTAGAAAACACTAGAAAACACAAACAAGTTAAATACAGTAATTGGCGCAGACTGTAGTTTCTACCTTTTTATGTATTGAGCGTGGAAGCGAATTTTTCTGAAATTCCAGAATGGCTTTTACCGATGATACTCTTTTCCAGAAAATCTGAGTCACCTCCTGTCAAGCTTTCTAAATGGCATCGGTGTGTCTACCAATTATAGAAATAAGACCTAGCAATTAATCAATTTTTTTCATAACCTTAAAAAAAATTTTTTTGGTAATAAGTACTGACAATAAATTAAGGAATGTCTCCATAATGAAGAACGAATGTCGAGCTTTGTTAAACCTAAATAATGTAGTCTTTACTACCAGAAAGTTTGAACTAAAGCCCTACAGTTGGTTCGGGAAGATAAGATTATCTTGAAAATAAAAACTGTTTCAATGGATCATAATCACCCATTATATCTTACTAGTAAAACTTTAACACGCTACATGGGATATCCGAAAACTGCAAATACTTTAACACGCAGATCTAATAGGATTATTTACGGTAAACGAAATAACGTCTATGAGTTTTACCAATGTTTTTTTTATTCAATTAACAAAGCAGCCTCTTTTCAGTAAAACTGATAAAGATAATATGGCAACATCCTTTTAACAAAACCAATTTTTTTGTTCTATACATGGTCTGTATTTATGTATATACTCGTATATAGAACAGTTTGCAAAACAAACATAATGCTTATTTGCATACATCTCTTACATATGTACATACTTACATAAGTATTGAATTGTTATTAATTCATCATGTTGGCTCATTAAGAAAAAATTTCAAAGAATTATTCACAGATATTTGGTATTCCTAGCGTGTACTTTCTTATTAACCGTTTATTATTCCGGTATTCCCTCAATATTTCCTTTCTTATAAAAGCTCAAGAAGAGCACTACTATTGTTGTGGCGTGAAAGAAGAAACTTCTCTTTCACAAACGAGAAAACAAATAATATTTTAAATTTTAAAAAATTGGTAAACAATCCATAAGACTAGAATTTTATAATTTTTTTTGGATTGATTAATTATGATGCTCTCCAGGTAAACAAGTTATTGGTAAATCAAAGAGTTGTGAAAGTAAGGAAAGAGAGTTAATCCTAGGAGTACCCAAATATTATATTTTATAATTCCTCAGCAATAACCTTATGAAAGAGACGAGAGTGTAGGATTGTTTCTAAGTAAGCTTGCTCTCTTATTAGTATGCTCTCGTATATACATCGTGAATTGGAAATTTTACTCGGGTCTGTGGTGATTTTCTGATTTTCCGCCGCGAAAGCGATTTCGTTGCTGTGCAGCTACTCCCATTTTCAGTCTGAAGAGAATTATCGACACGACAAGTGGTGAATTGTAATTGTCCGTACGCCTGTGGTGAAGTGCTGGTAGGACTGAAAAAATTCCATTTCTACACTACCAATTCTAAAATTTCGTTGAATATAATTTATTAGAATATAAAACATATGAACTGTGACGTGCTTTACAAGATAGTTCCAATAAAAATTTAAATTAAATCCTTACTTATTGGTAAGGATTATATATTAATAAAATTGTGAAAATCATATTAAAATTTAAAATAAAGTGAAAAACTGCCCAGGCAGCTGAAACAAGTTATTTTTAGCCTGGAAGTCTGTTTGGTATTGTGAAAGCGTGCTCTAACAAGTTCGGATAAGTTCGGAAATCTTTATAGACGCTAATTTTAACTGCACGAACCGTACGCGTTTGTCGGCGATTTATTGTATAGTATATACTACTTACAAATGCACATACATTTTTATGTGAAAATATGAATATAATATACATATATACATATACTAAGTGCATTTATAAAAGAGCATAATATATGCATATGTGCTTATTTTATATATGGTATATGTAAAAGATAATGCTAATTAAAAGCGTTCAAAATACACGTGAATGTATGTAAGCAGCTTATAATCAGTAATAAAAGCATCCAGCATCCCAGACTACAAAGGATGCTACGAAATTGTGATAATAATTAAAAAAAATTCCGTCCAAATCAAAAGTGTGGTGAATTGAAAATTTGTTTACAAATATGCGTATAGTGCGGAAGTAAATGCGTACGAGGATACTTCATTAATTATTAATTAATAATATTTTTTGCTCCAAGCGCTTCCATATTTACTTTCAAATATGTTTATTGAGTGATTAGTGTTATAATTTGGTGGTAAATTACGAAATTCAAAGAAAATCATAAATAAATAAATAATTACCGGCAAAATTCAAATTGTCATATACAACACATTCATATACCTACATATGTAATGTGTATACATACATACGAGTATGTAGTTTAAAAGGGAATAATTCCAGTGTTAATAATTTGTATATTCAAAACAACCTAAAAATATGTGCACTGGCATGTCCTTTGCTTACTAAGTTTTTTTTTTTTTATATATAAGAAAGGATTTTTCAAGTTTTCACCTTTCGTTATTTATCTCGGGAACAAGTAAAGCTACAACATAGGGATGTACGTATTCTTGTAGCCCAACAAGAAAGGCCTTAATATAGTTTTTGATAAGTGCGCTCCTTTCAGAAATATAATATACCTGCGATTTATTGTTTGTTTACTTATGCCGCAACAACAACTAGAGCTCACATGCATGTACCGGTATTAATATTATAACTTTAAATCACTTTTTATCTACGGAAATTGTCAAAAATTCTGTTGTACGTTTATTTGTTCACGAGTAATGTAATGTAGAAAATTTAAAAATCACTGTTGATCTGTATGCAAAAAATACGTGTATGGTTTTAAATCCATTAATCTCACTGTTAGCGGTAAAGCAAATTTTGTAACTTTTTTTTAACACCTGAAATTGAATTTGGTATTCTGGCGAATTGGTTACAATGCCTGATAATACTTTGGCAGCACTGCTTTTTTCGCCTATGTTCAATTACATTTGCCAGTTGGTAAATTAAAAGGACGAATATTCATATTTGCATTTCATTTGTTGTTGGCTTTTACTTTGGAATTCACATTTGAAATATAGTGCAGTGATCGCGAAACAGAAGGTTGGCTTATTGCAGTTAGACAATTGCTCCCAACGAATTGCTGATACGACCAGTGAGAAAAGAAATATGTTGTTGAGAGAAACCTCAAATAAAACGGCAACGATGTCTTCTGTCTAAAAAAATATTTATTTAAAAGTTGCATATAAACATGAATATCTACTCTATTGTCATATAGTGCCAATTCGTTTATAAGCTCTAAACAAATTGCTTTGTTCAGGCGAAAATACTGAATGGTAAACTAATATGGTCATTGTTTTCTCGCAAACTTCTCAACATTTCTCTCGCATTTTTCTTCATTTTCATTAATTGTAGACGTAAAATATACATTTTGGTTTTTTTATTTTTTCACAAAGTATCTAACAACACAAAATCGAACAGCTGATTGTTTGTTATCTCCTATTTCGCTGGTAACAGAACTTATAGGGGGGAAAGTGAACTCAGAATACGAAATAGTAACAAAATTTACTGAATGGTAAATTAATACCAAAGTAAATCTTGTTACCTCGACAGAATAGGCCTGTAAGTAAGAAATTTAGCAGTGCTACAAGTATATGAATAAATACAAGCTTTTTTTCTATTTTTATTGTTTTTATTTTGTACACTGTCCAAAAATTAAAAAACTCTCGATATTCTATATTATGTTAAATTATAATTGTTGTTATAAAATAGATGATAAGTAGAGAATAATGAAATTCTTAGTATGCTTCAACTAGGGGAAAAAATTTCAAATATTATTGATATTTTCATATTTGTATTTTTGTGAAATAATGATGTTTGTTTGTTACTCTCTTAAGGAGGGTCGAATCAGATATAAACAGAGTTGAGTCGCTTTTTCGCTGTGAATTTAAATGACATGAAGCCGCTACTCTGATGGATGTAAGCTTATACATATAATAATAACTTTCAACGCAAATAACTTTCAACTGCGCTGGATGCAAAGCATTGTTAAACTCCAGACAATTTGCTGTCCCTGTAAAGGAACATTAGACCAATTTTCGTCGATTTGTCGATCTTTGATACCCTTCACGGAAAGTACGTATTTTATGTATTAATCTAGGCAAAAGGCAGCTAACGTAATAAATTTCAAGCAAATCGAACTTAATTGCTCATTTCTATGTGGCGATCCTTGAACTCTTTTTCGAACGACTACAAATTTACAAGGTGTATCCGTTTGACCAAAATCCAAAATTATAAATAGCTAATTAATTTTTCTAATTGTGTTCGATAGGGAATGTTAAGCCCTTCATGTGTATTTCTGTCGTGACAGAAAAGTACTCCATTTCTGGAAAACCGTCTAAACGCATACCACAAATTGGACATATCAAAGACTTCATTGCTTCATAAAATAACAACATGAAAAACCAGATAAATCCGCCAATTAATACAGAACACGAAATCCGTTGAATAAATGGATTCGAGCACAAATTCCTATTAATGAATTTCAGTAGGTTTATAGAACAGCGGTTTAAAACTGAGAGTGGTTTTTAACTAGTTACCCAAAATTTGTTTATACAGTAACCTCCAATTTCTCTCTTTCTTTGCGCTGTATGACGCCAATTGGAAATACCAGGTGTGAACACCAGATCCTGCTCTACCAGATCTTTGCTGCTTTCACCAGCGGGTACTGCATCAAAAGGCAGAGCGTTCTCATCCATTCGGACCACATAACCTAACCAGAGTAACTGCTGTCTTTTGATGTCAATTGTCAAGTATGTATGTATTATACCTACGCTACCAATGTGCGGTGGCTGTTAGTTTGATAGTTAATCTAGAGAAAGCAGAGCTTGCGGTGTAGTTGTTGATGCCCCTGCCGCTTTGTTGTTTTTCACTGCTGTTCAAACTTCTTCATAGTCGACCAATACAAAATCTCCTTCAAGGATCTCCTTCCTCTTTGTATGCGCCTTGCTTCCCTCTTTTATTATCGGGATCTTTCCCATCCCACAGATTATCGTCTGTAATGTTGTGAGGTAGGCAGCCTGTTTTTTCTCCACTGTAAAATATTACTTTTCATCGTACCAGTTTTTTTTTTGCCTTTCCTAAAGCCAATAGTTTCGTTTAGTCTGGGTACATCGCCACATATTTCCCATTTATCGAATAACTGATGAGAGCTCCAATAGATCAGAAACGGAAGCCGAGTAGTAATCTGTTTGTGATTGCACGTATTCGTGCAAATTGGCTTTATCATTGCATTGTAAATGAGTACTATATAAGAGATCTAATGTAAATGCTAATGGCATGACCTGTGGACGTAAATGTGACATGCATACACCTTTGCTCATTCACTTTAATTCTCCACTTTGCCAACCACTCTTTGATATACCGCGAAAGTGGATGCTTGCACTTTTCGGTTTACTGGAATGTTTGTAGTGTATATACTTGTAATATATAATATAAGTAAACCGCTTGATGTGACTCAAGTACATACGAATTTTCGCGGGTTACGTATATTCGAATTTCGATTTTTTTGTGGCGTTATGTTGGTACTCCTGTCTGTCACTTATGCCAACAAGCTCGGCCATTTTGAATGTTCACTTAATTGTTGACAGCTGCTTTGCTTGCACGTGTTTAGGAGGGTGTTCGATTTTTATCTATTCAAAAAAATGGATCAAAGAACCTGTATCAAATTTTGTGTGAAAAACGAAATTAAGTGCGCGGATGCATTCCTACCTTAGACTGAAGCAATGTTTATCGGTGGTACAAAATGTTCTCAGAAGGCCGAGAAAATGTGAACGACGAAGAGCGTGCCGGACGACCGAGCACTTCAACAACAGACGAAAAAATTAATTGCAGGGGCGTGGTGCATCATGAGTTCTTGCCACAGGGTAGAACGGTCAACAAGGAATATTACCTGTAAGTTATGCGCAATTTGCGCAAAGCAATCCGCCAGAAACGCCCGGATTTATGGAAGAACAAAAATTGTCTTTAGCACCACGAAAACGCCCCTGCTCACACATCGTTGCTTGTGTGGGACTTTTTGGTCGAAAATAAGAGACTATTCCCCAGATCTGGCCCCCTGTGACTTTTTCTTGTTCCCTAAGCTGAAGAGGCCCATGAAAGGACGAAGTTACGCTACGATTGACGAGATAAAGACGGCATCGAAGAAGGAGCTGAACAAGATAAAAAAAATGATTTTTTGAAGTGCTTCGAAGATTGTAAAAACCGTTGGCACAAGTATATAATATCTCATGGGAGTACTTTGAAGGGGACAAAAAAGATATTCATGAATAAATAAATAATTTTTGAAAAAACACAAAATTCGCGATTGAACACACCTAGTATATTGTAGAATTGGTTAAAGAGAGTTATATAAATTTTGGGCAATAGGCCTTTATGCCGAACCTTGTCGAGC